TCGCTATGAGTTGCAAATGACTCAATGGCACATAACAACAACCTTCTTACCCCTGGAATTTAGAATGATTTTCACATTGTCTCTTATTTTTTAAAAGAGTAGAAAATAAGGGAGCCTAGTGGCAAGAAGCTACACTGCAATCCTGAAGGTGCGTGGTTCAAATCCGCCGGATGCTCTGCTGGAGAAGGAGGGGCAACCTCCTCCTGTGTCAGTTGGATCTGATTTGACGGCAAAGAAAAAAGAAAAAAAAAAGAGTAGAAAATAGCCTATAGAACTTTTGCTCATCTGGGAAGTGAATGCTCTTCCTGCTGATGGGAAACCCAATCTTTGTGTCTCTTCTCTTTTTACGATTGAGCTGTCTCCCTCTAAATGACTTCATTTGCTCACATTTATTACAGTTCTTCTTTCCCCCTTTGTTGAGCCCAGCTTGTGTAGAGTGCTGTCTTTAGAGGTTTTGTTGGGCAAGCATCCAGGAGATGAAGAGACAGTCCTCTGGGACAGGAACGTCTTTGTTTAGAGAACTCAGAGCTGACAGTTTTATTCCCCAAGGCATTTGCCAAAACTGTTCTTAGTTTAGTAGAATGTCAGTGCTCAGAGTATAAAGGGACATCGTTACTGCAGTGGTTTATATGGGCGATGTCTCTTGTAGTAAACATCTTCCAGAAACCACTGCTTTCTTGGAAGCTCTGGAACACAGTGAGTTTAGGAAGTACCAAAGAGCTCTCTGAGTGTGAGCTAATGTTCCTGTTGTTTTGATTTTTGGGAGCCCCAGTTTTCTTAGTTTTTATTATTCTTGTACACTGTTTCTTGGGCAATGAGTGATATTGGATGGGAGAAGGAAGATGGGGTCCAAGTCTGCCTAGGTTCCATGCTGAGTCTCTGGTACAAGGGAGAGGAGCTATCCACACTTCATTTTCTCATCTGTAGAGGGGGGCTTTAATGATGGCACTGGCTCTTAGAGTATTACGAGGATTGCATGAGATGAAGCAGGACAAGTGCCCAGCATAGGGTTTCCTACTTAGGAAAATACCATGTCCTCAAGGATTTCCAGGGAGTCCTGGTGGCTTTGTAGCAAGGAGTTGCATTGCCAACCCAAAGGAACACGGTTTGAATCTGCCAACTGTGCCATGGGAGAAAGATGGGCGGTCACCTCCCATATGATTATGATTTACTGCCTGTGAAAACACCCTGGAGGATCAGCTGTGAGTTGGTTCCAACTTGACATAACAGCCTCATGGACTTCCAGCTCCAAACTGCAGCATAAACTTTTACTTGAATTTCCAACCTGTTGGTGTAAATAATCTAGGCCTATCTCTTAGTGTAAATTAAAACTCAGAGGGAGAAAGGGACTTGTCCAAGCTACTCCAGGTGACAGAGCCAGGCTGTGCATAAATATCTCTAGCCCCGATAGCTCATGCTCTGTTTATTATAGATTTTCTTTTCCATGTGGCCGCCCATTTCTTGAAAGCAAGGTCCCCATCAATCCATCTGACCCATGTCAATTCATCATCCAACACTTACCTGTCACTGAAAGCCTGACTCTTCTCCATGCCCTTCCCAGGGGACACTGCACGATTCCCTCCACCCCCGAACTGGCCATTGTACGGCTCCAAGGGGCAGCACTCCGACCACAGTGTTTCTGAGGGACGTTCCCTGCAGTTGTGCGATGTGATTGCTCTGGGGACCCGTCTTGGGCTTTGTAGACACTGGCGAAGAAGTGTTTAGACAGTTTGGTCCAGGGCATATTTTTAAACTTGGCAGAGTCATTGCCTCATTGGAAAGTGAGTAGGCAGCTGATGAAATGGAATGCTCAAATGCAAGCACAAGTGAATGAAAGTGCTTCAGTCATGCCAAGGCTGGGAAGAGGCAGGCCAAGGGGAGGAATGTTGATGGGGTCCCCGGCAAGGAAATGAGGGCTGTAATTCCAGCACGCCTGACAGCCTCCACTTTTCTCTCTCCTTTTCCCTCTTTCTTTTGTCTTCTCCCTGTAGAGGGGTTTTCTTAGACACCATCCTTCCCCGCCGGGACGACAATGGCATCCGGCCAACCATCGGCCAGCGTGTGCGGCTCAGCCAGGGAGACATAGCGCAAGCCAGGAAGCTGTACAAATGCCCAGGTAACCAGAAATCACGAGGAGTCACCGCATTTCCCATGCATCCCGTGGAGCACAACTCCACTTCTATTTGCAAACATTTCCCCTTGCTGGGAAAACAGCCTGGGGAGCCTGAAGACACCACTTGGCAACTGAAATTTCTGGGGTATTTCTATTGGGAGGTGCTAGACAGTATAAAAAGCCAGATTAGGGACATGTTTGTAGGGAGTGAAGAAGAATAGAACTTGAAACACACAGATTAATTTGTAGAAGGCTGTTAGAATTCCTTGGCAAAGCTCTGGTGTTTGAAAAAGAAAGATGGTATAATAGAACAGTGGTGAAAGGAGATGCCATGTAGCCTGTCCTTGACAGTGAAGATGTCTCCCTTTCCTATGGGAGTGGAGGATATGGGGTGGAGAAATATGGGTCAAGGGAATGAATCTTCAGGAAGGCAAAGAATGAGAAGAAAGTTTTTGGAAGGTGAGAGTCCATTTCCCAAACACTGAAAGGCTGGAGCAGTCTGACAGTTATAAATAAGATTATTTCTACGGTTGTGGGAGCTTTCAGAGCCATCCAGTGTCATGGCCAATGACTAGAAGAAGTCTGCCATTGAAGGCTAGATGGTAAACTGAGGTCTCTGCGGTATTAAAGGGCCCTCCTTTTGACTTTTCTCTCTGTGCTCTCCACCCTCCCTGGCTTCAGCATCTTCACGCCCAGCACAGTCCTAGGAGCGAGTTCTTGTAGACCCCTTTAAACTTTTGAGTTTCAGCACAAAGCCATGACTGCAACAGCCACAGGTTTACCATTGATAGGAGGGAATGAATTTCAGCATCTCGGGCATGCAGGAGTGAGTTCATTGCAGACAGGCTTGACAACCTTTTCTAGACCCTCCAAGCCAGATACATGTTTTGAACACAGAAGGACAGCATGTGTGACATGGAGACATCTTAGATAATCTGGACTGTCACATTGCCCATGAAACAGGGTCATGGGACGTACAAAGGACCATCTGGGGCTTGCTCCATTATGAGACTCTAGGAAATATGTCCATCTAATTATCATCCATCTGGGAGTGTGCCAGGGATGAAATACAGGACGTATGTATCACATAACCTCACTGAATTAAAAGGGAAACCTTAGAGCATTCCCTGGGAAATGCCATCATATTTATTTATTTCTTTATAATGTCTATGCTGCTTACTTCTCCCAAAGGATCCGAGGCAGCTGGTAAATACCATGCAGCCGCACAGTAATGGATCTGTTCCTGCAGAATGTGGGTGATTATACTAAAATAATTTCCACGGAACCCTTGGGGGTGTTGACTGCTGAGCGTAATCCTCATGATGCCTGGCAGTTGTTTGGTAATGTGATCGTGAAGCCCCGATAGCCAGGATTTCCTGAGACTGATGATGGGCCCTTTTCCAGATGGCCTTTCCTGTAATTCAAAAAAACATGGATCTTCAAGGAGTTGTAAGCAGTAAGTACTAGGCAGAGGGTGAATTGCAGAGGGAAAGGATGGTACGGGTCATATTCTTGGGGTCAAAAGGATGAACTTCCGCCTCCGAGAACTCTTAGACCACCAACCAGTCACTAGTGAATTGATTCTGACCCATGGCGAGGTCATGGGCATCACAGTAGATCTCTGCTCCACTGGGTTTTCAGTGGCAGATATTTTAGAAGTAGGTGACCAGGCCTTTATTTGCAGCCGCCTCCGGGTGGGCTCAAAGCATTAAACCTTTGGTTAGGAGTGAGATGTGCCTTTTGTTGTACCCAGGGATTTTCCAAATGCAGTCCTGTCTCATTGATTGGTGTGCTTGAGTCCAAACACCAGGGCATTATTTGAAAATGGAAAGTGACATTGATGGGTGCACATGTGTGGACCGCAATCACAGTTGTTGTTTTGCTCATACAGCATGTGGAGAGACTCTGCAGGACACAACAGGGAACTTTTCCGCACCAGGGTTCCCAAATGGCTACCCTTCGTACTCCCACTGTGTCTGGAGGATATCGGTCACTCCAGGGGAAAAGGTAGGTGTGAAACCACCTCGGGAACTAACCCGGCAATCTTAGAATTGGATCTGTTGTGTCTGTTGTTCTGTGTCATCAAATTGGAATTGACTTATAGCTGCTTTCCAGAGGGTCTTTGGAGGTAGTTAATAGCACAGGAGGAGATTGCCCAGTTTTCTTCGTGGAGCAGCTGGTGGATTTGAACCATGCTCTTCTGGGTTGGCAGTGCAACTCTATACCACTACACCATCTTATTATCAACAGTAACAAGCTTTTATTTCATGGCACTAAGTGTTTTATATTATTTCTGAACTTCTCAACCAGTCTTACCTATACACGTGGAAGTCTGTGTCTGAAAGCTCTGGTGATCTATTGGGCTGTAGGTGGGCTACCAACCCAAAGGCTTGTGGTTCAAATCCATGCAAGAAAGATGGGCAATCTCCTCCTGTGCAACTTACTGCCTCTGAAAACTCACTGGAGGGTCAGCTTTGGGTTGGCTCGGACTTGATGGTACATGACAACACCATGTCTGAAATGTCTAAATAATGGAAAAATTATAAATCAGACTAAAAGTCTGGAAAATGAAGCAGGCTGTGACCTTCTAGCTTGTTAAACACACCTTCCTAATGCTCTGGAAAGAAGCCCTGGTGGTGCAGTGCTTCAGTACTTGGCTGTTAACCTAAAGACTTTGAACCCACCAGCATCTATGTGGAAGAAAAGACCTGGAGATTTGTTCCCTGAGGATTGTTCTGGTGGGGTTCTGTAGAGTACATCCCCACTCACCCCTGTAACCCTGTGATCAGAGCATGTCTTCCAGGATTTTGACTGCTGATTTATTCGATTGCCCTCCTAAACTATAAGCTCATTGAGGCCAGGGATTGTTCACGCCCTGCTCGCTGGCTGCAGACACTGTCCATGGCAGACGCAATAAGTGTTTGTTCAATGGATGTGTGGGCGGATGGTGACAGTGAAAAGTCGACAGCTGGAAGGTAGGGTTGAGGGTGTTGGAATTTCTAGCCAGCCTTCTTATGTTCCAAATGTGTAACCTTTTTAAAAAAATAGAAATTGCCATTCTGATGTAAGTTGAGCATAATGGGTTAACCTGAAGAGAAAGCGTGGCTGGAAGTCATTGCGGTCCTTTTCTGTGTCCTCAGCACACTTTGTGAGTCTTTTTGTTTAATCTTCACAACAACTTATGTTAAGTTCTGCTATCGTGCTTATATTACAGATAAGGAAATTAACTCCCCTCAGGCAACCCATTTAGTTTGTTATGAAGTGGGCATTTGAACTCAGGTTACTTGACTTAAAGATTATCATCTTATAAAGGACACAAGCTAACAGACTTTGAAGTGTACAGTTACACAGAGACACATATGCACACACCCCTTTCCTCTGACTCTTAAGTATTTAAGACAGTGTTGTTGTCATCACAAGCCCAGCAGATTCCAGACCTGTCTGAGTGGGTGGATTTTCTACCCTTGTCTCTTTTGGGGTCACTGAAGAGATGGAAGGAGGAGGGAGAAAGAAAAGGAAAGGGTCAGGTAATGATCTAATTTCTGAATTTCTCTGCGCAGGAGAAACTATGTGGGTTGCTTGCACTGTGTTAAGATCCACTAAGTCTTAATTATTAGTGTTAATGGGGGCAGGGAGAATATACATCATTTAAATTCCTGCATGAATTATTTTCAATTTCTGCTTCACTCAGCTTTCCCCAGAGCTGCTAGTAATTAGCAAACTTGATTGATTCAAGTATTACCTCTTGTTCATCACCTCTTCCCCTATGGCCTTTATGGTTCACTAACTTGCTTAAAATAATTACCATGAATAATTACCCGTTCATTCAGATCCTGAATGTGTTACCAAGGAAGCTCTAATAACATTTCCTTTCTGTAATTTTTATACCAAAGGCTAAAGATTATATCGCAAGCCCCTGATAAATCTCACTGAGCTTTCAAACCAAATGCAGAAGAAACCCAGGGTACAGTCCCAGTCTTCAAGAGACTTAGAGTTTAGTTCTGCTCTCTCTTCCCCCTAGGGAGCTCTGGTAGCCCAGTGGTAAAAGGCTGCACTGCAGTCCCAGAAGTATGCAATTCAAGGCCACCAGCTACTCTGTGGGAGAAGAATGAGTAGTCTCCCCCTGTACAAAGCAAACACAACGCCCATCTCTAGGAAGTCTGATTTAATTGAAGAAAGGACATTAGCAGAGAAGTAGTAATTTTTTTTCTTTTCAAAGTTTCCAAGTGACTTTAATATATAAGCAGGACTGAGAACCACTGGTCTAGTTTGAAAGAAAAGAGTAACACCCACACACACACACACGCATACACAGTCTACAGCACAGATTTGAGTTATTATTTTTCTAGACCTATTTCCCAGGCTCTGGTGGCCTCCTGGCAAAAAGCTGCACTGCAATCCCGAAGGCACGGGGTTCAAATCCACCAGCTGCCCCATGGGAGAAGGATGGACAGTCTTCTCCTGTGCAACTAACAGCCTCCGAAAAACCCACTGGAGGATCAGCTATGGGTGAGCTTGGTCCTTGATATTACCCAACAACAACAACAGTGACAACATTTCCCAAGAGGACACAGGCCTTTCTAGAAAAGAAGAGGCTACTTGTCCTGGGACCTCACACTGGGTAGAGCTTTTTTTAAGGGACGCTCTAGTGGCATAGTCCATAGGGAGTTGCACTGCTAACTCAAAGGCCATGCCTCTCTGCTGGTTCAAACCCACCAGCAGCTCACTGGAAGAAAGATGGTCAGTTCTCTCATATGCAATTTAGTCTTGGAAACTCAATGAAGGATCAGCCATGCATTGGTTCTGGTTCCATGGCAATGCTTTGAGCTGAATTGTTGAGCTTCAATGGGAAGAGATCGGAAGTTCTAGCATCATTCAAGACAGGTAGCCTATATGGACTCTTTAGTGCATCTGAGGTACTCTGTCAATGCACTCATGAGCTATAGTGGTATCCCCTACTGTGAACCAAAAGGATACATGTCTCCAGTGGTTGGAATCCACCAGCAGCTCTGCAGGAGAGATATGGGCAGTCCACTCTTGTTGAGATTTACAACCTCAGAAACCTAGTGGAGGGTCACTATGAGTCAGACTTGACTCAATTACAGTGAGTTTAGTTTGAAGGTTTTTAAAAACTATATACGTATCTATTTTATATTAAATTATATATTTATATTTTATATATATTAAATATATATTTACTCACTGTAGCTTTGAGTGCCTCTTCGGTGCCAAGCAAAGCAGTGTACACTCTATATATTTTGTGTGTTTAGGCCCTTCACAGCCCAGAGGGTATTGTTTTATAAATGAAGAAACTAGAAGCCAAAGAGGACAAGAGTTTTCCCAGCATTCCAAAACTAGTGAGGGTGAGACTGAGGTGCAAAATCATATCTGTGTGGCTTTAAAAGCACCTTCTCTGAAAGCAGTGTGGGAAAGAGTGTTTGTGAGCCTGAGTGAATGAGAGTGTGTGTGTGAGAGAGAGAGAGCGAGGAGACAGAGACGGACAGATACACACACACACACACACACACAGAAAGACAGAGAGAACACAAAATATGAGGCACAGATTGAATTCATTCAGTCACTTCTAATCCAGCTGGGTCTGGGAAGGGCTTCATGAAAATGGATGCAGTGGGCCCTGGAGGGTCTGGAAAATAGGCTGAGTCTACTTTCTGAGAGGCCATAGGGGAGCCACTGAAGTATGCTGAGTAGGTGTGGGATCAGGTAACCATGATATGTAACTGGAAGATTGTTCTAGATGGACAGAGTTGGGACAGGGGAAGTCCAGGAATCATCTCAAAGGGAGTAATTCAGAGATGGATGCCCAAGGGGCTTCAAGATCGGGGTGGAGGGAAGGAACATGGGTTATCTTAAAAGTCAAATAAATCACCTAAAACCAGGAGAAGATAAAACAGATGAATGAGACTTTCTAAGAATCAAATCCCTATGCACATCCAAAAACTTTTCCACCAGGGTAAAAAGGGAAGCCACAGACTCAGAAAAAGTATTTGGAAATGACATATCAGATAAGGGACTTACATCCAGAATTTACAAAATACTTGAGCAGCACAACAAGATAAAAGTAAAGAATCCAATAGAAAAATGGGCACAGGATATGAACAGACACTTCACCGAAGAAGACATTCAGATGGCCAACAAGCACATGAAGAAATGTTCAAAATCCCTAGCTCTAAGAGAGATGAAAATTAAAACAACTATGAGATATCATCTCACCCCAGTCAGAATTGCAAAATTTAACAGAACAGCAAACAACAAATGCTGCCAAGGTTGTGGAGAAACTGGAACTCTTATTCACTGTTGGTGAGAGTGTCAAATGGTGCAACCACTGTGGAAGGTGGTATGGTGCTTTCTCAAAAAGTTGCAAATAGAGATACCATTTGACCCCGCAATTCCACTACTGGGAATATACCCCAAAGAGATCATAACTGACACCCAAGCAGATATATGCACACCCATGTTTATCGCAGCTTTGTTCACAATAGCAAGGAGTTGGAAACAACCTAAGTGCCCATCAACAAACAAATGGCTAGAGAAGCTGTGGTATATTCGCACAGTGGAATACCACGCTGCATTGAAAAACAAGGAACTCATGCAGTATTATTCAAAATGGGTGACCCTGGAGGATATAATGCTAAGTGAAGTATCTCAGTCACAAAAGGACAAATAGTGAATGGTGCCACTGTTGTAAAACAGGACTGACCTTGGGGTTGGGGAGAATCTGAGAAAGATGGGTTCAATAATGTATACTGCATTGAAATAGATAAGGGAGAAAACTGTTTAAAAGGGATATGTGATTAGGTATTTTTGTCATGACAGGAGTCCAGAGCGAAGGCTACATGGTGGAGTGGACCTGGGAAGGGTTTGTAAAACAATGAAAGAATTTTTCTTTTACTTTTCCAAGAGGATAGTGTACTACGGGGGAGGGTTGGGAAGGGAGAAAAGTGCAACAATGAAGGAATGGAAATCCAAAGTCTCTGTAAATTTTTTTTAATTTATTTTATGTGTGTGTGTGTGTGTGCCATCAAATTAGATCTGACTGATACAGGAGGAGATTGTTCATCCTTCTCCAGCAGAGCATCTGGTGGAATCAAACCTCACACATCTGGGATTGCAGTGCAGCTTCTTGCCAGTAGGCCACCAGAACTCACCAGAGTCTCTGTAAATTTTTACTGAAATTAATAATAACTTTAAATAAAACAAACAAAAAATACAATTTAAAAAAAAAGGCAAAAAATCTGTCCAAATGCTGAGATGTAGAGGCTGTGGAGAGAGCATAAGGACAGGGGAGAGGTGGCACCAAGGATTTGCACTAGGAAATGGGGCCATGGTGAAGTTGGGAAGGAAGCACTTTGTTTTGAGCTGCCCTCCCAGCTAGTGTGCCCGGGGGAGAACCTGGAAGAGGCGGTGTTCTGAGTAGAGAGGCCACAGAGACAAACCAGATTGCTGAAACTCAGGACCTAAGAAATTTTGACCTGCATTTCACCCCAGCCTAAGAGTTTACGTAGGAGAGTGGAACTCTGGAATTATTTGAAGATAAAGAGACTAGTAGAGGAAGAGAGAGTGGAGGTGATGGAGAGAGAGAAATTGGCTGTGAGCAAGGCCCACCTGCAGCTGGCAAGGGCAAGGTCAGGGGCTGATGCAGAATGAGGAGTCTTGAGAACACGAAGAGCTGAGAAATGGAACAGGGAGGTGCTGAGCACAGGTAGAGGGTAACCTTCGTAGCCAGGCTCAGACAGTTCATTACTTCGGTGTAGGATCATGTATGGTGGAGTTTGAATGGGAGGTGAGGGGAGAGGAGAGAATCTTGAAGGCTGCCCTAGGCAGTCAGCCAGGTGATCCCAGACTTGGCAGAGTAGCAGTGGGGACCAGGGCGGGGTCATCACTGCAGTGCCAGTGTCCCAAGTCTCAGTATGCATCCAGACCCTTCCACCAAGGACTCATCTCTTTTGTTACAGGGACTAAATGACCTCAGGGCGTGCAGAACTTCCTCCTCAGCCCATCTGAACTCCCTCCCCTCCAGCCTTTGCTTGTCTCCTTGCCTTTATACCTCCTCATCCCAGACACATGCATGCCCCTGCCCTGGCTCTACCTTCAAATGCTGTTGTTAGCTGCCATCTAGTCAGCTCCTGACTCGTGATGACCCACTGCACAACAGAACAAAGTGCCCAGTCAGTCCTGGGCCAGCCCGTCGTTGACTGTGATGTGGAGAGTGTGATCCATAGGGTTTTCATGGACTGATTTTTGAAAATAGATTGCCAAACCTAGTTTCTCTTTCAGTCTGGAAGTTCTGCTGAAACTTATTTAATGCAATAGAAATTTGCACGTGAGGTGCATTGAGTTGGAATCAAACCCAGGTGTCCTGTGTGGAACGTGATAACTACACCCCTGAACTGTCATTGCCACCTGGGTCTACAGTTGTTGTTATGGGTCATCAAGTTGGCTATGACTCATAGCAACTCTATGAACAATAGCTTTGAACCCTCCCCTATCCTGAGCCAATCTCGCTGTCTTCAACATTTCCACTTTCATTACTCCAGTTACTATGCCAATCCATCTCATCCAGGGTCTTCCTCTCCTGTCGTGACCCTCCACCCTTCCAAGCATGATGCTCTTCTCTAAGGATGGGTCCCTCCTGGCAACATGCCCAAAATATGCGAGACAGCTTCACAATCCTTGCCTCCAAGGAGCAACCTGGTTTCGCCGTCTCTGGGACAGACCTGTTGGTTCTCTCAGCAGTTGATAGTATGTTCAATACTCTTCTCCGGCACTGCAACCTAAAGGTAGCAATTCTTCTGCCATCCATAGTCATTGTCCGGCTCTCTGATGCATATGAAGTGATTGGGAACAGCTCCCCAGACACCTTGTTTACCCCTCTCTCCAGTGTACTCTCTCAGAGCTCTGGTGGTATGTTGCTGTTGTTGTTATGGAGTTAACTCATAGTGACCCTATGAACAACAGATCTGAAGCTTGCCCTATCCTGTGCCATCCTCACCACCTCTGAAATGCTCCAGCCCTTCCATGGCAAGGTGTGCTGCCAACCCCAAATACCTTCTCACCCTCTGAAGCCCTCTCCTCATTAGTAACACGTTGCTGCAAATGACGGTAATACATCAAAAAAATGTGTTTCTGAGCACGGTCCTCAATTAAAAGTGTGCGGCAACATGTTAAACACTCCATTTCTAAGAAGTCATCTCCAGTATTGCCAGGCAGAATTTCTTTCTTTTTCCTCAATGCTGCCAAAGTGCTCTTTCTAACCATCCTCTCTTTTCAGCATTTATACCATAGTGTGCTGACTGACTTTTCCTATATTCTGTGAATATATATATTCTTTTATTCCCACAGACAAGAAACCTGTCCTACTAAATTTTTATCTAAATTGGCCAGTAAACTGATACACCATTTGGTCAGTAAATGGTAGTGGAATGAATGGATGAGTGGATGAATTGTAAGAAAGCTAGCAGACGCACCAGGCTCAGAAGAGGGAGTTCGTAGCTGGGAGAGACATTGATCATGGAAGCACTCAGATGCACTTGAGTTAACCCTGGACCCGTCAGATGATTGATGATGTTATAAGATCTCTCAGTATCTCTGAACTTCACCGACCTCTTACCTCCTTCCAAATCCCCAGTCCCTGTAGCACCCCAGTCAACCTTTTAAAGTGCATCTTGCTTTCTATAAACCATCTAGTGACTTCAAAAGCTCAAGCTGTCCCCCAGATAGCACCGAAAGAACCATCTCCTTCTGTTTACTCCCCATCCTGCTTGAGGTTTATTATTTAATGTCATAGAGTTTCCTGTGAGTGTTTTCAAAAAGACGCTCCTACTGTGGTCTGAGAGTCCTGCATGCTAACGGGTAACATGAGAACACATGATTCAAGAGGTATCTCTCCCAACTCCTCACCCTTTGCTGCCGGAACTCACTTTATGGTAACTCTTTACAGATCATCCTGAACTTCACATCCATGGATTTGTTTAAAAGCCGCCTGTGCTGGTACGATTACGTGGAGGTCCGGGATGGCTATTGGAGAAAAGCCCCCCTTTTGGGTGAGTTGCCTTAGAGAGCCTTAAGAGACGGTGCTGTGATGTTCTGTGCGATGCTGTTCACGTTGGGAATCGTCCATCCGGCTGCAGCATAGGAAGCTCTCAAGGATCTGTGATATTGTAAAACTCTGAACACTCCATTTGGTCACACATGTTAAAAGCTTTTAAAACTGTGAATACCCTTTGACCCCAAAATTTCTCTTCTTGGAAGTTATCCTAGGGAACTAATTAAAGAAGTGTGCAAAGCTTTAGCAACGGGAATGCTCACCGAAGCAGGAAAAATTGAAAACCATTTAAATGTTCAACAGCAGGAGTCAGCTGAATACATTATGATGTATCCTTTCAATAGTAAACTATCCATTAAAAATAAAGCTGAAGAAAGAAAATAATGTTGGAGGTTGTTGTTGGTAGATGCAGTGGAGTTTATTCTGACTCACAGAGACCCTGTGGATGACAAAAATAAACATTATCTGGCCCCATGCCATTCTCATAATCACCGCTGTGTTTGGGATTATTGTTACAGCTCAACCCATTTCATTAAGAGTCTCTGACCTTCTATTTTACCAAATAAAGTAAAGGCAACTATTTAATAATTATAAGCGGAGTTCAGGGTACCTAAATGAAAACAAATTGCATTGTCAACCCAAAGGTAGTTGGTTCAAATCTGCCAACTTCTATTTGGGAGAAAGATGAGCAGTCTCCTCCTGTGCAGTTTAGAGGTTCTGAAAAACTCACTGACAGGTCAGCTCTGAGTCCGTTCCGACTTGACAGCAATGATTGGAGTTGAATTATTTTATAATATGGAAAGGTGTTCATTGTGCATTACTAAAGGGAAAAAAAAGATATGTTAACGAATTAAATAATGAGGATTCCATTTTGAGGAAATGTACATTTATATGTATCTTATGCAAATAATGCAAAGTCAGATGTATTTGGGGTTAAAATGTAAATGAATAAAATGTGGTTGGTATAATATGAGTAAGAATGGTGGAAATGTGCCAAGCTGGAACGTGATCATTCCTGTCCAGAATCCTTTCAAACAAAGTTATTTAAACCCTTATGTAAGCTGCATTCAACAAGAACAACTCTTTTTGTGAGCTCAATATAAATATATAGCTACATATCTTAAGGAAAGATATCTTGTGAATATAAATAATGTATAGTGATTTTAAGATGATGAGGTATGCTTTTTAGAAATTTATTCTCTGTTGGTCTTGGTTTGACTTTGTTTTCTGCAATGAGCATGTGCTGTTTTTGTGAAAACAATGCAAGACCTCAACATGAAAAAATGGTGCAGACCTTTGAGTGAAAGATAAAGGGAAATTAGTGTAAGGAGGAAGGTTATTCAGTGCAGATTGGTCACCAGAAGAGGCATCTCTCATGGATGTTCAAGCAAGAGAAACACCAATGGCCTGGGATGTTCTGTGCGTTGACAATGGATTCATGATGGTAGAGCCTCATGGAAGAGTCTTGGCTGCCAATGGGTTGTCCTCGTTCCTAGCCTGGTCTCCAGAGTACAGCCTGACCTGGACAGAGTGTCAGTGAGGACTTTATTTATCGAAGTTTTCTAAGTTGTCAGTGAGGACTGTGTCCCTGGCGTGCCTTGATGGGGCAGAGAAGCCAGATTTCTTGTTCTTTGAATGAGTAGCATGTTGGGACAATGGGCTGACTGTGAAGATGCAGATGTGAAGGAAAGAAGGAGGGCTGTGTTGGAGAGTTAACTAGTACACATTTGTGCAAGATTTGAGGAAAGCAAGGATGAGGTAGCCCTGAGGAGACTGGAACAGAAGGTCGAGCTAGAGCCAAAGGAATCTGTTAGATGTTGGGGTTCTCTGTGGTCAAGGGCCAATAGTCAGGTCAGCTAACCTTGAGAACAGCTCATGAGCCCCTTGGCACATGAGTTCAAATTCCTGGACTTAAGAGCTGGAGAGTAGCCAGACAGGCTTTAAATTGCCATCATTAGAAGTCACTCAAACAATGAGTGGTCTAGGTAGGCAAGCCAAGAAAGTGGCCTCAAGTCAAGCCCAGGCAGGAGTGAGTGCAATGCAGGAGAAATTAGGCTGTGTTTCCAGGGGCAGGGTGCAAGCTGTGGGCCCTGGTTTTCTGTTTCCTCTCTAATGTGAACAGACAAGGCACACGCTGGCAGCCAGAGCGAGACCATGCGGTAGAGGAAGTGCTGACTGGAGCAGCAAAGACCCAAACTATTTGCTGTCAAGTCAGTTCTGGCTCTTGGTAACCTCATGTTACAAAGCAGAACTGCCTGTAGGGTTTTCTGGGCTGTGATCCCTGTGGACACAGATTAGCAGGTCTTTCTCCTGCAGGGCCTCTGGGGGATTGAAACCTTAAACCATCCAGTTCGCAAGCCAGTGTCTTCATCACTGTGCCACTTAATCCCACACCTTTGAGAGAAAGCCCAGCTCCCCCAAATGTGAACCAGTTTGCAAAGGCCATTCAGCCAGGCAGTGACAGAAGTAAGACCAGAACACAGATCTGGTGTTGGGATAAAGGGAAAATGGAATCTGAGAAGCTGGACCCCCTAAAGTGGTCAGATACAATCCATTATCTGTGCCTCTGAAATTCATATGGAACCAGAATTCCTGTATTTCTGTATGCTAAATTGGGCAGCTCCAAGTCCCCTCCAGTCCCCAGGAATGTGATAGATTTATGGGGGCTCAGGAGGAGGAAGCTCTCAGTTACCCAGTTACCAGGGTTCTCTAGAGAGGGCCAAGGCATGTTCCTGAGAGTGGGCGCAAGCCAAGAGGTTTCCAGTACATAGGTCCTTTTTCTTGAAAGTGAATCAAGCATTTTTCTCCCTACAAATGCTGGTATCTCAGGCCAAACTTTCACTGACTAGAAAGTAGGGCTTGTGCTATTTGGAAACTTGGTTGGTTGGGTTTGTTCCCCCCCCCTTTTCTTTTGGCTCTTACTACACACTGTGTGTGTGTGTGTGTGTGTGTGTGTGTGTGTGTGTGTGTGTTTTGTGGCAGCCAAGGCATGGCCCCAGCGCCTGTAACCGTCACTCTTCATTTGCAAGAGTCCTCCATTGCCAACTATTTGGCCTGCTCTGATGTTTCCAAATGCAGTTGTTAGTGAACTTTTGTGTTTGGAACAAGTGCATTGTGTGGACCGAGCTGGTCCCTGGGAGGGGTCAGTGCCATGAAATCTGCCGGGAGGAGGCAGGTCAATGCCCCGTTGGCAGGAGGCAGAGCGGATTAGGCGGATTGTGAAAGTATGCATCTTGCTCTGAAAAACTTGTGCATCGCATATTTTCCCAGGGCAGTGTGTGAAAATCCAGGCATAATAGACACATAACTTTTTATGAATGAACCCTTTATGACTCCCCACGGAGCCCACTTGTAGTGTCCCCATCTGCATTTCCTCTTCTTGATATCCTTATTAAACTCCTCCTCTAAACCCAGGAACCAGATTGCAGGCTAGGAATCTGACACCTCTTCTCCCGTTGAGTTTCCCTGTAGCTCGAGTCTCCTTGCAAGAAGGCAGTTAGGGACCAGGGCTTTCACATAGCTCTGAAAGGGAACTGTAAGTGGATTGAGAATATTTCATGGCTGATTAAAGATTTCAAATTGGTGTTTGAGTTTCAGAGGTCACTGAGGAGATTGCCTCTTAGAGTGAGGAAGAAGATGGCTTTGGAGAGAACGCATGCAGTGAGTGGAAATGTGTCCAGCACATTGGACTCCCATCTCTTATTTCCGCCAGAGGAATGGCTCCAACAATGCACTTTTGTCTGCAGAACTGTCTTCTGAGTATTCTGTACCATCACAATGCATACAAAAGCCCTTTCTCCCTCTTTCCCTAAAGTGGGGAGAGAAGTTCAGAGAGGCCAGGTTGGCCAATCAGTGCTGCCAGGCCCTGGCCACTAGGGCACGCTGGGCTGGGGCAGCTGCCAAAAGGAGCAGAAATGATGGACTGGGCTGCACGGCTAAGCCCGGTTTACCATGCACTTGCTTTGTGCTTTGGGACTTTGTTCTCTATTCCTATGTGTTTGTTTCCAAACTGGCATGCAGTTTTTATTCTCAGAGAACAGGCTTGATGCCTGTTTAATTAAAATGACACAGGACACCCCAATCAGACACATTCCTTTAAACGGTGATGAGAGCGATGAGGGTGATTATGATGATAATAAAGATGATATGTGTAAGGAAGGTCAAGATCACAGACTTCTAGGGTTCGAATTCTGTTTCCTCTTCAAGAACTTTTTTTTTTTAAAGGATGATTTTCTTTTTCTTAATGTTGTGGGTATGTGTGTAACATAATATATATCAATTCAACAATTTCTCTAAGAACAATTGGTGATGATTACAACTCTTTAGTTATGCAGCCATTCTCACCCCTTGGTAGAGCTGTGAGATTGAAATTATCCGACCCTCAGTTTTCTCATCTGTGAAATGGGATTAACAGTAGTGCCTGATTCTGAAGGTTGTAGAGAGAACTCAAGTAAAGATTTCAGACAGTGTTTGTCCTGCTCTTGTGTGTCCTCGAATTGATTCCTGCTCATACCGCCCTTTTTGGACAGAAGAATTGTCTCATAGGATTTCCTGGGCTTTAATCTTTAAAGGAGCAGATTGCCAGGTCTTTTCTCCTGCCGAGCAGCTGGTGGGCTCCGATTGTCTGCCTTTTGATTAGCAGTGGAGTCTAACCATTGTGCCAGTGCTCCTCCATGTCTGGCATGAGATGGACTCAATAAAAGAACTTTTATCAGAACCATTGTGGTGAAGATGAAAATGGCAAGACATCACCCAGGCGGTGAAGTGGAAGGTCCTCGATAAAGGATTATTTAGGGTGCAGCACTGCTTAGAAAGGCTTTGTAATTAGTTCTAGCTTTGCCTTTGCCTGCAAGCGTACTGAGTGGAGATGGGTTGGCCTGTGGCTCGGGATGAGTGCTTTGTCTCATCTGCTTAGGTGCTTAGGCAACGAGCAATGAAAGTCTTTCTCCCCTTTAGACGCCGTCCCCACTGGCTGTGACAGCTGGGCTTTAAAAGGAGAAACTTGGACTTGAAACTTGGACCAGACTGGGAAGGAATTCCTTTTGTGAGCCTGTGTAGTCTACCTGCTGTTCAGTAGATCCGCCTCCTCGTGGGGAAGCAATACTTTCCCATCTGTATGTGTTCTTTTCCAAAAACTAAACGGACGCTAATTGGCCATGCCAGAGAAGCCATTACTGCGAATTTATAGGCTTCTGATGTATTTTTCCTTGTCGAATTTTTGGCAGTGGTTTCAGCTCATCTCACTTAATATCAAGCTCACCAAATCCAAGAGCCTGCAGGTGCCCAGGAATCACAAGGAAGCTAAAAGAGTTTAAGCAGCTCTACCTGGCTTTCTTCCCCAAAGGATGTCTGCCCTAGCTGGCCACTAGGACGTGGCTGTATCACCATTTATTCCACCCCACAAAACAGTGCTTCAAGGAGCTGCTCCAGGATCCAGCAAGCTGAAGTCTAGAAGAGGAAGCCCACTAAATATCTGTTAACCGGATTTCTTTTTTAAAAAAAAAAAAAAAAAGATTGGCTTGTTAGAATACAATTCACACACCATACAATTCACTCATTTAAAACTTACAAGTCAGTCATTCTTAATATGGTCACAGAGGTGCACAGCAGTCACCACAATACATTTCAGAATGTTTTCATCTCCCACAGAGGAACCAGTGTCCATTTCCCAACAATGTTAAATGGATTTTGTGGTGTTGTGTTTTGTTGTGTGGTTTTTTTGTGTTTTTTTTTTTAAATGACTGGGTTTAACGTAGATGTGCCATAACATTTTCCATTTTAATTTCTTAATTGTAATTTAAGTGAATTTACCAGGAAAATTGGGAGCTGTTGTGTCCTAGAAGGCAAAAAGCAGTGCTGCCAACCCCAAAGTAGGTGGTTCAGATCTGCCGGCTGCTCTGAGAAAGATGGAGAGTCTTCTGCCATGCAAATTACAGCCTCTGAAAACCGTCTGGACAGTCAACTCTAAGTTGGTTCTAACTCAGTGATATATAACAGCCACTAAACAAATTGATTTTCATTCAACCATTCACACACACTTTGTTTTATAGCCTTAATTATGATAGCCACAAGTTAATCACATACTTTTTTCCACTTTCCTGTAATTCTTATCATTTTAAGCATTTTTGTAATACACAATTCAGTGGTGTTGATTACAGTGTTGTTTTTGTTACTGTGCACAGGCAGGTTGGAACCAACCCATAGCTGGCCCTCTTGGCTATTAATTCCCCAGGAGGGGGTTATTTATAATAGTCTTCAATCGTTGCCACCTTCCGCTTCTAACATTGTTTCGTAACTTTAAATAGAAGCGTAGTACCAATAGGTACTCCTAGCTCCTCCTGCTCCGTCTCTGTAACCTCTACTCTATAAACTTGGTTCCCTGGAGGCTTCATCCAGAGGGAATTGTGCTGCCAACCCAAAGGCTTTGCCTCTCTAGTGGTTCGAATCCACCAGCAGCTCCATGGGGTGAGAGGGAAAAATCTCCATCTCTTACAGCTTCGGAAACCTGCTGGAGGGTCAGAGACCAGTGAGTTCCTACTTGATGATGATGAGTTTTGAGAATCTTTTCATATAAATAGAATTCACTAATGCCCATTTGGGTCTGACTTTTAAAATTTTTTTGGCTTTTTTTGGTTATTATTAAATTTTATTAATTTTAATGAACACTTACAGAGATTTTGGGTTTTCATTCCTTCATTGTTGCACTATTTTCTCTACCCTCCTTCCCAGTTAGTTCTTCTTCCCCCCCACACCGAATGTCTGTTTTAATTGTCCAATTGCCACAGTGCTTGTCAAAGCCAGTTCTGATTAATCTCCTTTGTCAGTGTGTCCTTTGCCATTCCCTATCACTCCTCCCTGAGAGAGACTTCACCCTGATTCATAAGGGAAAGGGGATGGCGTATTCTCTTAGCTACTTCCTGCTGAAAGGGACGCTGTAGGTTTTGACTTTTAAAATTTTCTTAGTATAATGTAGTGAATATACCGTGGACTACCAGGAGAACAAACAGGTTTACCCTAGTGAAGATGAAAAAAGGTTGCTCCTTGGAGACATGGATTCTGAGGCTTTGTCTGATATACTTTGGGCAGTTCTTGGAGGGACCATCATGCTTAGGAGGGTGGAGGGACAACACAAGGGAGGAAGACTCTAGGTGAGATGGATTTCATCTCATTTCATTTCAGTGACTGGGATAATGGCAGTAGGTGTGTCAGAGACAATAAGGTTGGCACAGGATAGAGCAGGGTTTAAGGCTGTTGTACACAGGATTGCCATGAGTCACAAGTGACTCAACAGCACATAACAACGACGTTTCCAAGGTTTGTGTCGTCACGTGCATCAGAGCGTCATTTCTTTTTTGGCTAATACTACATTTTGTTGATCCATCCATCAGTTGAAGACACTTCTGACCACTGTGAATAGTGCTGTTAAGAACATTGGTGTACTAGTATGTGAGTCTCTCTTTTAGTTCCTTAGGGTATGTATCAAGGAGTGGGATTGACAGTCCTTGGAAAAAGACGTTAACCTGGGAAATGTCGAAAGGTGATGAAAGAGATGAAAATCCTCAGGAAGTGGCACCAGCGCAGTAATGAGGGCAGTGGGCCTGCGTGTGGTGGGGACCCTGACGATCGACCAGGACAGGGCAGGGTCCGGCTCTGCTGTTCGTTGGGTTGCAGTGAGCCATAGTCAACTCAGCAGCACCTAACAACGTGATAGTTTCATATTTAGCTTTCTGAGTGGTAAATAGATTTTTTTTAAAATGCCTCACACAATCAGTCTTTGTCAGAACCGTGGACTTCCAGTCCAGATACACCTTGCTCGGACTGTATTATAAACTTATCAGTACAACTCAACCCATCTCCCACCCTGCCCTCATTCCTGCCATTGCTCTGGACCCCATCCTTATGTCACCTGAGGTTATCATGTTCTGGAAAGGTCTTTCCTATTACATACCCAAGTGACTAAGAAATAAAAATGTGGGGTTTTCTGTAACATAACAAATGCTCTTATATACTGAGTGCCTCTTTCATCAGGTTGTGGTGGTGGTGGTGGTTTGTTGTTGTTGTTGTGTACCATCGAGTCGGAACTGACCCATAGCTGACCCTCTGGCAGCTTTTCAGAGGCAGTTAATCTCATGGGAAGAGATTGCCCATCCAGGTTTTCAGAGGCAATTAATCACATGAGAGGCGATTGCCTCTCCTTCTCCCATGGAGCAGCTAGTGGCCTTGAACAGCATGCCTTCAGGATTGTAGCATAGCTTCTTGCCACTAGGCCACAAATTTCATCAAGCAACAGAAACATAATTTCGTGATTTTAGCTCCCCACCCCGCCCCCTGCCCTGGAGTAGAACGTTTGAGAGGCATGCTAACTTTGTGCCAATATAAGGGGATGGAGGCGTGTCTGTGCTGCCATCCTGACTGACATGGCTGAGATGTTCTCACCTCTGCCGGGTCTTCAGTACCCTTCCCATGTCAGTAGTTGTGGGAGCCACTCCTAGGCCAGTTTAGACTGGCGCCAAGCCCAAGTCCCCCTAGAAGTGTGAGAGGCATTCTGTGGCTCTCCAACTCTCTAGGCTAAGGAACAGTGACTTCTAAGCCCTTCTCAGAACCCAAGAGTCATTTGCTGTGATTGTACCATGCATGGCCTGGCGAGTTCTACATGCCTATGTAGCCAAGTGTCTTGACAAACCATAGAGACCCTTCTGATCCCTGGAGGTGGCAGGGCCGGGGGGAAGCAGGAAATCTAGGGTATTTCTGAAGAGTTCCCTCTCCATATCTTCAAATTTATCTGACGCTTCTATCCTTGCCTCAGCTCAGGATAGGACAAGGCACAGGGTCCCTTAGGGACTCCATGGTGAGCCACCAATCCTCTCTCCTATGAGCAATCCTTGCACACCAGATAGCCCCTGCCTTCTTCATCTAGGATGGGAAAATTTGCTCGTATGCATCAAGTATTCTGTGTCTATAGTTTTGACTGTAAGTCTTGACACTCACTCGTGTTCACTCTGAGATGCTGACCTTGTGAAGGGGGTGGCTTGGTGGGTTTGAGGACTGCCTGGATTGTCTTCTAACTGCTATGTTTTTTTTAACTAGAACCTGAACTTCTACTGAAGTCAGTCTTGAATGAGGAGTATGGGTTTGTTAGAGACCACGTCACCCTTTCAGTTGCATCTTCTAATCCTGTGTGAGGGAGCTCTGGGGTGTAGTCTGTAAGGCTTTGCTAAACCCGAGGCCATGCCTCTCTGGTGATTTGATGCCACCAAGTGCTGTGTGAATGAGGGGCGAGCAGTCTCCTCCTGGGTGATTCACAGCCTCAGAAACTCATTAGCGAGTCAGCTAAGAGTTGGTTCCTTCTGACTCAATGGCAGTGAGTTTTGTCGGAATCCTCTACGTGTCACAGGATAAATTGTCATCACGAGGACTGTTGCTTATACTCATTAAATAGTAATATTCTAAAAACTGATGACTTGGGTTTTGTGCACCATTCCAAAACTCTAAGCCGAGATTGCAAAATAAATCATGCCTGGCTGCTGACATCACATTGATCTGTGTTCCTCGCAGTGAGGTGTCAAGGATCCAGAGGCATTTGACAGCAGGAAAGAGTCCTGCAGTTGATTCACAATGTCTGTTACAGGTTCAGGAAGGGGGCGCAGAGGCCAGATTTCACCCTCATCTGAGGACGCTGTTTGTCTAGAATTTAACCCACGTAATTATGGGGTTAACAGATAAGAGTGTTCCACTGTCACGAATAGTTTTTCAACTTCACTGTGCTTTTTGTGCAAAGCTGATTGACATACAGGTTTCTTGCTGTATCTCCAGATGACTCACATGCACTCCTTGTCTAGCAGAAAAGAGCCTCGACAACCCCTTCTTGGTATTACCACATTCATCTTGATGTTTTTGTTCCCTTCCAGGCAGGTTTTGTGGTGATAAAATCCCAGAGCCTCTCGTCTCCACGGACAGTCGCCTCTGGGTGGAGTTCCGCAGCAGCAGCAACATCCTGGGCAAAGGTTTCTTCGCTGTCTACGAAGGTGTGTTCATGTGGAAGGAGCCCCTGGGTGACTGTGTCCTTCTCGTGTCCCTGCAGCTCTTCTCCACTACAGCCTTCTGAGCTGCTGTTGGGCCACTGCTGAACGAGAGCCCAGTGCACTGCTGTCCCCCACATTCTGGAACTAGATAGGGCAGCCATGTTTGTTGCTGGCCAGCCACCTCAGTACCTGTTGCTGGGCGACCTCTTCAGTCCAGTGAGGGAGTCAGCTTCCCCTGAGTATAGACATATAACATGCAAAGACAGTGGCCTCCGAATTGCTGTGGAAGTCTGAAGAAACACCTCACCTCTCTGAACTTCTGCTGATCTATCTCATTTGTGCAAAGAGCACTTTGTGTGACAGCAGAAATTTCCATCTAGTTTCCTGAGGTCACCATGATGGTTGACTCATAGGGACCAGTTGCGCTGGGCTCCAGGCAGCTGCCACCAGGACAGTTACACTTTTATTTGTTCTGTAAGTTGGGCTCCTCAGGTGAGGCTCCCTCGCCCACCTCAATAGAAAGACTACTGGGATTTCTTTTAGCTTTAAATTATTGTCACTTTGGACAGACCAGAGCTCTGTTTTGACCAAGGAGATTGTGTGTGTGTGTGTGTGTGTGTGTGTATGTGTACACGTATGTACTTGTGTACGTGTTCCCAGCCTGACTGCTCATATGCGTCTTCTAGGGAATCTGTTTTACTGCTGCCTAAATAGCCTACCCAGATGCACTTGAATCAGAATCTCTGGAAATGTGGCCCGGGCTTCCGTAACTTGAAAAATCTACCAAAAATGATCTGATGTGTGGTGAAAGTAGAGGGCCACTTCTATGAATGGTTATTTATGGTTATTTTCTTTGGGTAGGGGTGGGACAAAAAAAGAAAATTAGACTTAAAACCTGAAATGGTGTTTTTGGGGAGATAAGATCTTTGTTGAATAGAAATGAAAAAGTTGACAAGTGGAGCCACCTAGTGGCGATGAGTGGTCACTGACCTGATGGGAGACGCCCCCCCCTCTTGTTGTGCTCTCTCTTTCTGAAGCCACGTGTGGGGGAGACATTAACAAAGATGCTGGTCAGATTCAATCTCCCAACTACCCAGATGACTACAGACCCTCCAAGGAATGTGTCTGGCGAATCACGGTCTCAGAGGGATTCCACGTGGGACTTACCTTCCAAGCTTTTGAGGTGAGCGCTGTTCAGTTTGTCTTCCCAAGAGATGAAGTCAACACCCGCTTTAGCTAGACTCTCTCTGCTCTGTAAAGATGAGCTTTCATTTTCTGGTTCAAGACAGGAGACTAAGAGGTCCTCTTCAGCCTCTAGTAAATTGTACCCAGGCATGTGGGATTGACACCTTCTCAGCCTTTAAAACTGCTCTGCGTCCTTTCTGAAGACTGCTGGAGAAGGTGGATTCACTGACGTGACAAGTCTAGGATTGGATCCAACCAGGCTGTGGAATTGTTCTTCTATGTTTATCAACTCATATGGTGTTTCGGTGGACACCTTCCGTGTGGGAGACTCCACTGCAGTCACATCATGTGCAGCCAGCCACCACCCAGCTGTCAGTGGAGGCTTGCCTGTTGCTGTGATGTTAGGAAAGTTTTAGGGAACGTCCAGACGAAGATGGACGAGAAAGAAACTCCTGTGATCTACTCACAATTCAGCCAGTGAAAGCGCTGAGGATCAAGACAGTTTGATTCTGTTCTGTGTGGGGTCACCATGAGTTGGAACCAATGACAGATGACAGCAACAAGTCTCTCAGCTTGATTCATCCTTGGCATCTATGGGTAGGAGAAAGCTTAGAGAAGCCCAGGACACACTTGTGTCCTATTGCCCCCTTGGTTAGATTTTTTCTTCTTTTTTATCTTTCCTTATTGTGTACCATTGAATCAGATCTGACTGGTACAGGAGGAGATTGCCCCTCCTTCTCCAGTGAAGCATCCAGTGGATTCGAACCATGCTTCTTTGGGATTGCAGTGCAACTTCTTGCTGCTAGGCCTCCAGAGCTCCCTCTTGGTTAGACTTTGATTAGAAGGTTATGTAGATGCCATTCTTTTTTTTTTTAAATGTCATTTGTCATATTGTAATTTTTAAAATCTTTTTATTGGGTTTCATATAATAATTCCTTTACATTATGTTTTATTCATATACATTGTGTTTTACACAATGTTTTATTTAGATTGTATTTCATACAATCATTTATGTACATTCTACTTTACATTATTTTTTATTGGTTTGCTTACAAAGTTTATTTACATTGTATTTCACACTACTCTTCATTCACTTTGTATCTCATACAATCATTTTCATGCATTGTTTTATAAAATTAATCACCAATGGACCTTGCCCATTGTTACCCTGTCTTTTCACCCAGATCCTTCTCATTTGCTCCCCCACCCACCCACCAAACTCTGCAACCCTGTGGTTTCACCCTTACCTGTCCTCACCCCTCCACTTCCCCCTCCCCCCTCCCCTCTCCTTGAGTTCCTGTAGGTGTTTTACTAGTTATCCTTCTATTTTTACAATAATGGTCTTATGCAGTACTTTAGACTTCATCTTAAATTTTTAAAAAACCCCTTCTTCCTCCAGCCACCTGTAATCACCCACATGCCTCTGTTTCTCCATCTAGATTGAAAGACATGACAGCTGTGCTTATGACTATCTGGAAATCCGTGATGGTCCCACAGAAGAGAGCGCTCTGATTGGCCACTTCTGTGGCTATGAGAAACCAGAGGATGTGAAATCGAGCTCCAACAGAATGTGGATGAAGTTTGTGTCTGATGGCTCTATTAATAAAGCAGGCTTTGCTGCCAATTTTTTCAAGGGTATGAATTAGCATTTGGTTTCTATTTTTAGTCACTGGAAGAGCTACTGCCCTCTTGGCTTAAGAATCACAAAACACATGCGGAACCTTAGCATCCAGTAAGACTTCCTGCAGAAATGAGGCAGCGACTCGTTTTAGAGATGTGTCTAGGGCTTCCGACAGAGGCCACAGTTGACTAACAAGCAGGTGTAGCCTTAGCTTCTACTTGGCACGCAGTTCTGCCCCTCCCTGGACTTGGAAATGAGATTTAATAAGTCTGCTAGGTCAAATTGCAGTGAAACTCAGCATCAGAAAGAAATGTTTGCATAGTAGCTGCAGTTAACTCATAGCCTACTGTGTGACGGGAACAGTACAAGGTTCTTGATTTGCACGATGCATTTAATTCCCCAAAATAAGCCTTTGTGTTACGTTTCAGTCATGGCTAGTCAGAGATAAGAAGGGTCACTCATTGTCCTAGGTCTGAAGTCATGTATTGTTTCCATTGAGTGAACTGGTTACTGATTGGCACTGACCCATTCCAACCTCTTTCCTGATTTTGCTCATACATTACTGTACATGTATGATACAAAGTTAATATACATTTTTTAAAAGAATAGGTTAGGGTTTGGAGGTTTAGAGTGGAGAAAAAAAGATGAGGAAGATACCCAATTACATTTACATTTTGGAAGAGCAATGGATAATCTGTTGTTGTTCTTGTTGATAGGGGTCGACCAGTAGACTGCACCTCGTAGCAACCCGGTGAACAGCAGATGTAAACCTTGCCCCATCCTCACGCTGGCTGTCACGCACAAGCCCACTGCTGCAGCCCCTGTGTCATTAGTGTGAATCCATTACTGCATACTTAAGAAATGTTTAGGTTTTTCTCTAAAATCTGAAGTTCAAATTCAACTGAGAATTCTTCATTTTATATGACAACCTTCCTGGAGATTCCAGTCAGGGAAATAGAAAAGGATATTCCTCTCTGTGACGGTAAAAATGCAAGGTGCAGCCAGAGTGCTCCTTGGAGGCAAAGGTGCTAAAGCTGCTTCTCACAGATCGTGGGCCTGTTGCTAGGAAGAAGCTCTTCCTTGGAGAGCGGCATCACTCATGCTTAGAAAGGTGGAGGGATGATTAAAGAGAGGAAGACTCTTAATCAGGTGGATTGTCACAGTGACTGTAGCAATGTGCTTGAGTGTGTCAGAGATTGTGAGGACGGCACAGGACAGGGTCAGCTCTATTGTTCAGAGGGTTGCTGTGTGATAGGTTCAATGGCTCCTAACAACAACAACAAATGCTAACGTGATCTGTGAGGGTCTCAGGTAAGAGCCTTGTCACGTTCTCAGTAACCACAGTGACCAGCCTCCTCTGATGGCGTAACCCGATCGATCGTACAGTGGTGAGTCCTTTATGATGTGATGGCTTCACCAGCTGCCACAGAGTTGGAGTACGGTGATGCTCCGTCAGGCCTCCGAGGAAGTAAAGCTTTACGACAGGAAACCACCTCATCTTTCCGCTGCAGGACACCTGGTGGATCAGAACCTCTGATGTTTCAGCTAACAAGTCCAAAATGGAATGCACTGTGCCACCAGGGTTCCATGTTTGATGGCTCAGAAGAGTTCCTTTCCCTTCCCATTTACCACTGTGCTTTGTTTCTGTGCTCTGCTGTGGGCCGAGGAGACTGTGAAACACACAGCCTCTGTCCTCGGGGTGAAGGACACACCAGGGGGAGCGACACTGTCCGGGCAGGCAGATAGACTAGGGACAAAGCCATGACCCCTGGTTATGTGGGGGGGCAGGCCTCTGTCTCCCAATCCTACTTCAAGCGAATTTTGGTGTTTAGACACCTGTGAGGGCCTTAGGGAGCGTTGATGGCCTAGTTCTTGGGGAGTTGTTATGGACCCAAGGGCTGAACCTCTCTGATGGTTTGAGTCCATCAATGACCCCTCGGGGAAGATGGGAAATCTCCTCCCTTGTGGTTTACAGCCAGGGACCCCCAGTGGAGAATGAGCTGTAGGTTGGTTCTGACTCGATGACAATGAGTTTGAGTTGGTTTGATGAGAGAGTGGATTGAGATCCACCTACACTGACTTTGTGCCCCATCTGACACTATTTTTACGTCAAAGGGGACTGAAGGGAACCACATTTATAGACGATTAATGTTAGGTATTTGTAAATTTTGCATTTTGAAAACCTTGATCCTGAATCCTAAAGGAGGGACCAGGACTATCTGCAACCCACTGGGATCTGTCAGAGGGGTAAGAAAACACGTTTCCCAAGTACCAACTGCAATGGATCACCCAGGTTACCTCACTCCACCTTCAGAGCAACCCGTTGGTGGTGGTGATGGTGGTATTACATGCTGTCGAGTCAGAACTGCCTTACAGCTGACCCTCCAGTGGGTTTTCAGAAGCTGTAAATCGCACAAGAGGACATTGCCCATCTTTCTCCCACAGAGCGGCACGTGAATATGAACCATGTACCTCTGAGTTGGCAGCACAACTACTTATCTCCTCTAGGCCACCAGAGATCCTCCTCCTTGGCATAGCCATTTTAGTACCCACATTTAGAAATGAAAGAAATCTAAAGTGGCAAATATAGAACTAGAACCTGGATCTGTAGGCCACTATATCCACCCTTTTATCCCAACTTCCTGTTGCTGAGCTCAAAAACAAAAACACAGAGAAGAAAAGTGAATGGATTTGGTTATTTCTTCACTATTTGTGATTTGATTTGACACTTGCCACCTCACTGCCTTTCTGGTACCACCTGTATACAAGTGTGCCACATTTTACCACACTGATTTATTGCACATTACAGACGCCACGTTCTTTCCAGATGGAAGACTCTGTGGTATCCTGCACCGAACAAATCTATATGTGCCATTTTCCCTCCTGCTCATGCTCACGTCACATGTCTGTGCCATGTTTTATTAGTTATCGCAATATTCCAAACTTTAAATAATGCCACAGTAGACTACAGAATACTGTGAACAGAACTTCCGTGTGCACTGGGAAACCAAAGCTAGCTGAGTGTCTATGTTTACTGTGTTATTTGCTGGATTGTTGTCAGGGTCTGAACCCACAATGTCTCCGAGATTTGTATGTGTAGGAAAGAGCCCTGTGTGTTGCATCTGAAGTTCTGAACCTATCTGTGCTCCTTACCAGCTCTGTGTACTTGGGGAGGTCAGTTTTTCTTTCTCAAACTGGGTCATACCGATTAGCCCCAATCTCTGGCATATAGCAGGCTCAGTACGTACTGTGCACTGGTGAGTGAGGCTGCTCAGATGAGATTCCTCTTTTGCAGACCATGACTTGTACTCTGCCTGCCTTCCAGGGTTCCTGGGAGGGCGGGTGAGTTGGGAGACTTGTCCAGAGCATCACTGTCCAACTGAAATAAAAGCCCCAAGTGTGGGCCGCACAAGTCATAGTAGTAGCCACTTCACCAAAAGGAAATAAATGGTGAAATTAGTTTCAGTATCTCTTTTGTTTGATCTCCTATATCCAGAATACTCTCATTTAAACATGTAGTTAATATAAATGTTATTGGTGAGATATTTTACATGGTCTTTTCCTTACTAAGTCCTGGAAAGGGAGCGCGGATAGCATAGTCTGTAGGGAGTTGGACTTCTAAGCCTGAAGTGAAGCCTCTTTAGCCGTTGGAATCTACGAGCACCTCTGAGGAAGGAAGATAGACAGTCTTCTCCCAGGTTACTTACAACCCTCCGAAAGCCCCGTAAAAGGTCAGCTATGACTTGGTTCTGAATTGATGGCAATGAGTTTGAGTTACTGTTTTGTGGGGTTGGGTTGTGTTGTTTTTTTTTTTAAGTTTTCACCTTTAATGAAATTACTTTGGAAATAATGCACATTTCCATGACATCAACACTACAGTTTCTGGAGTCACAGTAAGATACACAGAATTATACCAATTCTATAATTAATATGAATGCCAACATCTCTTAGCAGTTATTTCTGTTACTTGGCAAACAAAATCAAGAAAGTAACCATCAAACAAAAGGACCCATAGCTTCAGACAAGGCAAATCCCAGAAGGGCGTCTGAGAACAGCTGCTGCTTCAGTGAAGGGTTTCTGGCACAGCCAATGAGAAGGCTGTCACATGCTGTCCCAGTGCAAGCACCAGAACCAGCCACTCCTACTGTTGGAGCTCCTGCACCAATAAATTTGGCAGCAGTATCATCAGTGTCTCTGCTGATTGCACTGGTTTGAAACTTCTTTGGTTTAGTGGAGACACACCATTCTGGGCCCCACCAAACACTTCCGAGCCCTGTCCAGGCCTAGCTTTTGGTCACAATAACACGGATGCAGTTATTTGTCTGTACGCAACCCTGGATCCAGCTCCAATCAGAGCCGGGGTGCAGGCAAGCTTGGCACAGGTGAATATCTTAAAACTCTTCAGGGCGGCGTGGCTGGAGGACTTGAGTGACAGGTGACGTGAACTCTCCTGATTCCTTTCTTCTCTGCGGCAGCAGCAAGGGTTGCAGAGGTCGAAGTGGTAGGGTTCAGGTTTTGTGGGGTTTTTTTAAGTCTTAGAAATCCAGTTTGCATTTTACACTCAAGACCCATCTCAGTTTGGACTAGCTGCATTTCAAGTGCTCACTAGTTACACGTGGCTTCTAGATTGGATGGTGCCGGCTTGGAGATGAAGAAAATCCGATTTCAATAGACCAGACTTTTCCCAGCAAGGTTACCAGTAAAATATTCTGTGAACACTAAGTGCCCGTGCACGTGTCCAGTGCTTCCCTAGGGAAAGAACCTGGAATGCTCTGCAGGAGCCTTGGGCCAAGCTGAAGGAGCTCTTGCCTTGGTGCCAGTTGGCAGAAGGCCTTTGCCAGGGTCCAGCTGGTGGCTGACACTGACCAAGGTGCCAGCTGGCCTCTGCATCCTTTTCTTGGTGCCAGATAGCAGCTTAGCCAGCAGCAAGAAGAGCACCTCACTTTTCTGGTGCCACTTAGGTCCTGCGCTTTCTGAATAGAGAACGTGAGAATCCCCACCGTGATTCCTGCCTTCTACTGTCCAGTGCTAATGGATGACCGTGAGGTGTTTGGTGAGGGAGGTGGGCTTCCCACAAAGTGTTTCCTTAAAGCTAAGGAAAACACCCTGACTTCTCTCCCCACAACTCTTTTTTTTTTTTAAAGAGTAGATCCATTTATTTATTTTGACAATTCCATAGAAGAAGATGAATATAGAAGGTGAGGGTATTCTGGGTTTCAAAAAGTATCAGATTATTGGTTTCTGAACTATTTAATTATTAGAATTGTTCAAACTCATTGTGATTGAATTGGAATTAACTCATAGTTGAACCTCCACTGGGGTTACGTAGGTTTTCAATCACAGAGGAAGAGATCGACCGTCTTTCTCCTGTGGAGTCATTGGTGGATTCAAATCACCAGAGAGGTGTGGCCTTGAGTTGTTGTTGGAGATACATACTGTCCAGTCAACTACTATTCACAGTGACTTTGTGAACAATGAATCTGTGCCCTGCCCTATCCTGAGCCATCTTCAGCATCTCTGATACACCTAAGCCCATTGTTCCACGAACTCTGTCAATCCATCTGGTTGAAGGTCTTCCTCTCTTATGCTAACCCTCTACATTTCCAAGCACAGTGTCCTTCTCTGAGGATCGGACTCTCCTTACAATATGTCCAAACATGTGATCCACACAGTCAAAAGCTTTTGCGTAGTCAGTAGAACACAGACAATCTTCTGATATTCTCTGCTTTCGGCTAGGGTCTATCTGACATCAGCAATGATATTCCTGAAGCCATTTCTAAATCCAGCCTGAATTTTTGGCACTGTCTTTCCACCACTCTTAAGACACCATTGGGATCCTTCCTGAGCCATCTTACTATCTAACTAGAAACCATTTCCTGATTTCACCAATATCACCATGAGTATGGAAAGAACCCAGAACTGAAGTCCACTTCCAGCTACTCCCTTCATCCTCATGCTGTTGCAGATTCTCCTGGATAGTTTGGCCTTGACCACTGTAGCCCAGGGCAGACATCTGTCTGCCAGTGGGCTTGGAGTAGAGCCGTTTCACCACCATGGGAACAACACAGAGGAGCCAGGTACACTGCCATCCATCCGTCTGAGTTGGATCAGGCTTGTAAGTGGCCAAACATTCCACTGATCTTTGCTGGAGAGAGTGTTAGTGTTTCACTCACTTTCTCCTTGTTACAGTCTCAAGTTCATCCCACAGGCCTTCCTCCCTCCAAGTGGGAGCTCTAAGAGACTTGCTCATCTGTGGTCTTACCCACAGCTGCAACGTCATCTAGCATTAAACCTGCTGGGACATGGCCTTGTGTTTATCTTAGCTTTCCCGGTGGGCTCTCAGTTTAGTTTTGTCCACCATCTTCCCCCATCCCTCATGCCCCTCAGTCAAGTTTCTAGAATCTTCTGTGCCGCTCTCTTCTTGCCCGTCTGTTCCTGCCTTGTCTCCCTCTCCTCCCCACTACTCCACTCTCATCAGACAAAGGCATACCCAGGTAACCTTATCCTTTTTCATTTCCTCATTGTGTCACTGTATCTGTTGCAATTTTGGAAACAACTCCGTTGCCTTCTATTGTTGTGTGCCCTGGAGTTGGAACTGACTCTTAGCTGACTTACTGGCAGGTTTTCAGAGGCAGTAAATCACCCGGGAGGAGATGGCCCTGCTTTCTCTTGCAGAGCAGCTGGTCCATTCGAACTACATGCCTAAGGGTTGGCAGCGCAACTCCTTACCACTAAGCCACCAGCTCTCCCTATACTGTGTTCTATAGTAATAGTAATATCAACTGTCTACATAGTGGACTCTTTACCTATGTCTTCAGTCTTACCACAGCCTTAAGAACAGATGTTTTTATTCTAATTTCAAAACAGGAAGGACACTCAGAATAAGTCTCCAGTCTGAGACCACTCAGTTCCCTGGTAGAAGATGTGGGAATGGACCAATCTCGGTCTCTGACTCACTCTAAAAACTGGCATTTTTTCACTAATCTTTATTGCCTACTCTTCTCCTCCTCTACTTTGTCTGGTCTCCTCCTTCTGCACTTCTACACGACTAGCAACTTTCTAAGAAGTGCTTTGCATATTGTAAACATTACATGATTATTACCATTGTAGCATATTTAATATTTTTCATTTTTAGTTTAGAATGTAGACAACTTTAGTGCCTTGAATAGACCATCTTCCTGAAACTCAGTCTTGCCATCCTAACTTTGTTTAATCCAAAGTTTTGTTTAAGGCTTTGTCTTGAGCTCTGGTGGCTTGGTAATAAGGTGGTGGTGGTGGTGGTTGTTGTTGTTGAATACCATCAAGTTGGAACCGACCCATAGCTGACCCTTCAGTGGGTTTTCAGAGGCAGTCAATTGCATCAGAGGAGACTGCCCATCTTCCTCTGATGGAGCAGATGGTGGTTTCGAACTGCATGCCTTTGAGTTGGCAATGCAACTCCCTACCACTAGGCCACAAGAGCTCCCTCATGGTAAATTAGACTTAACCAAAATTCATTCTCCGCTGTGCAAAATAATGAGATGTTTACAGTCTTTCTTTTACCTGGAGGGGTGTGTGACCAGATTTTCGGGGATTTCGTGTGTCGCAAGCATGGAAAAGTTTGAAGGATGTGGATTTGTTTGAGTTAGGAAAGGACAGAGTAGAAGGGACATAATGGTTGAGGGGTTTACATTACAAAGCGAACATCATTGGGTTGAAAGTTGCAAGGAGCCAGATTTTTGATCCAAGAAATACCGTTGAAAAGTAGTGAGAGTTCTTCCAGTTTGGGGAATTTTCAAGCAGAATCTGAAAAGTTCTAAGGAATGCTATTAGAGACTCTCTACCTTAAGAGGCAGGCCTGAAGGGACTTGATAGCTGTTCAGGTCTTTCCAGTTCTAAGAGATTCTGAGTCCTTTTAGTTTAGAGGTAATGAGATCTTTCAGGACTTAGGGCACAACTTTCATACTCCCCCCAATCCAGCCTCCCAGGGTGCTAGAAACCTACCCCTACTCCCACATTCTTTATCCCAGATTGGTCATTTGAGGAGGTAGGTGGCTCAGGATTTCGTTGTTCTTTGGACTCCTCCAGTTCTGTTAGATCACACTCATTCCGTGACAAATGTCCCATAGTTGGCAAGAGAGAATATGATTGTTTTCTTTACCCCTAACTGGGCATCTTCTCTTAAATGTCTAGAACTTGGGTCCTTTGGTGTTTCTTTTCTTCTGTGAGTGGGTCTGTCTGGGAACATACTCCAGTGACTCACTCCTATTTCTCTTCTGGAAAGCACTGTGCTGCCCACTTGTTATTTAATGGCCCCAGACACATAGACCAGACCCGTGCCAGTGCTGAAGACCCCACCACCAACTCCGCCACCTCTCTGTCAGTTTTCTGGAGGCTGTGAATCCTTGGCATGTGGCATCCTTCTTTGAGTCCCTCTCCGAGTTTCTGGGAACGGCTGGCAGTCCTTGATGCTCCTTTGTTCATAGATGGGTCCACACTCAGCATCCGTTTTCCCCTGAGTGTGGTCTCTCTGTTCTACTCATGTCCTCACTCAGAAGTGATGAGGTTTAGGACCCACTCTGTGCTGGTGTGATCTCATTAACATAAAAAAGGAAAAACCTGTTTCTAAATAGGGGCACATTTACAGCTGCCAGGGCCACGTCTCCAACACATAGTGTTAAGGACAAAATTGAATCCCTACCGATGTGGACCTGTCCTTCATTTCCTTCAGGACATGGCAGCAGTATCCCAGGCTCAAAGTGGGCCACAAGGAACCATTCCTTTTCTTACCAGACACTTGACTGTAACTCATTTTCCTTTGAAGTAGGTGTGGGATGTGGAAGCGGAGAGTGGGGAATATGACCCGGTGGATTTGTCATGGTTTCACTGAGGTCGCCTTCCCTTCCCCACAGAAGTGGATGAGTGCTCGTGGCCTGACCACGGCGGGTGCGAGCAGCGCTGTGTGAACACGCTGGGCAGCTACAAGTGTGCGTGTGACCCTGGCTACGAGTTGGCTGCGGATAAGAAGGCCTGTGAAGGTGAGTGTTGCATCTGCTCAGCCGAGCGGGGCTGGGGTCTGAAGTCTTGAGAAACGGGGCAGCTGGTGTGCTGTGAAGTAAAGACTCAGTGGTGGTGGGAGGTCCACTCATTTCCCCGAGGGAGCAATAACTTCAGAGCCAGTGCCCAGTTCCCGTCGAGTCACAGTGACCACGTGTGTGTTGGCAGAGGACTGTGCACCAGAGTGCCTGATTCTGTAGAACAGTCACCAGGCCTTGCTTCCAGGCCTTGCTTCTGAGGTACTTCTGTGGAGACTCAACCTGCCAACTTGTGGTTATCTGCAGAGCACATTGACTGTTAAAATGACATAGATTCCATCCTAGAAACAATGAACTTGGCGGCCTGACTTATTTTCTTCAGCGAAGGTGTAAAACTCACATAGCTGTCTTTGTTTAAATGTTACTGTGTTGAGTTTGGCGTAACAATAACAGCAATAATGTTTAATGACATTGGTTACATTTTTCACACTGTGCCAGACATTCTCATTACTTGCATTCTGATTGTTCATCTTCCATTAATCTAACTTCCTGGCCCCCTAATGCCTTCTCAGCTTTAGTTTGGGATAAATGTTGACTGTTTGGGCTCAAAGAGTTGAGAAATAGCTATTTATATTCATAAAAATATTTGTATATATAAATAAATATAAGTAATAAGCATATTTATATAAAAACATTTCTAAGATAAGGATACAGATCTTTTAAGAGCACAGTCAAGTTGATACTATTTCTTTTAAGAGTTTATTGCTTCCCTCCACATTCTACTGTTCCAGTAAGTTTGGCATTTTGTTTCCTTTAAGAATTTTTGTTTCTTCTACATTCCTATCCAGGACCATCTGATATATTCCTGGTCAGAACAGTCAGTGGCCAGGCACCATCTAATTCTGGTCTCAGGATAGAGGAGACCATGGACCATGGTTTGTCTGAGCTATTGGTGCCATAGTTTCTTCTTTGAGTTCATGTAGCTTTTAAGATAAAATATCAAAACAAAGAAAACCTTGGAGCATGTTTGAAGTGACTTGCTGATCCAGACTTCAGTCATTCAGTTTGTCCTAGTTACTGTCCTGTTTCTCTTTTCACCTGCGTGAACCTGGCTCCTGTCAACCAGGTATATGACAGACGTGGGTGCAAACACTTCTAATTCTCCTTTGGTCCCTAGATGTGGAGTCTCCAGCTGTGTCCATAGATAAAACAAGTGCATCATTGTTTGCAGTAAAAACATGTCCCACAACCCTCAGTTGTTACAGTTAGACTAGGAAAAAAAGATATGGAGTTAATCAGTTCAGATTAATATTTTTAAGTCTAATATTTTAAAAAATATTATTAAAGAATGACACAGCTTATTGCTGCTTTCAGGGAATCACAGTCACTTGTAACTAAAACCAAATTATTCTTGTCTGTTCCTCTCCTGCAGTGGCCTGTGGTGGTTTCATTACCAAGTTGAACGGCACCATCACCAGCCCTGGGTGGCCAAAAGAATACCCCACAAACAAAAACTGTGTCTGGCAGGTGGTGGCCCCCATGCAGTACCGGATCTCCCTTCAGTTTGAAGTGTTTGAGCTGGAAGGCAATGATGTACGTTTCTTCACTCTGGTTTTCTGGCACAGTGTTGAAATCGGGCTCAAAACTGGGGACCCAGGAGGAGAGCAACAGGCAGGAAGCTGGCTTGTGCTGGAATGGGGACTTCAGAGAGTCATAGAGGCTCACATCCGGCCAGGAGCCCTTCCCCAGAACCTGCCTGAGTGGATCTGGCCAGCTAGCGGGGTTCACCTCCCAGGTGGGGGTACAGCAGCATGTGGGGAACCAGTGAGGGAAATACAGACGCCATACCTTTTCTCACCTCACACCTTGGCAGGTCTGTAAGTATGACTTTGTGGAGGTGCGCAGTGGCCTGTCCCCTGATGCCAGGCTGCATGGCAAATTCTGCGGCTCCGAGACACCCGAGGTCATCACCTCGCAGAGCAACAACATGCGGGTAGAGTTCAAGTCGGACAACACGGTCTCCAAGCGTGGTTTCAGGGCCCACTTCTTCTCAGGTATGCGGGCTAGGAGATGAGGCACTAAGGGACAAATGGCCTGGCAGGCTCCAGCCTTGGTGACCTGCCAGCTCCTCTCTGCCCAGCCCCTCCCCACACAATGTTTCCACCTTGACTGCTTGGCTCTGGGAGTTTTCTATTTGGTGGCTGTATTAGTTTCTTGTGGCTGCTGCAACAAGCAATTACAGATTGGGTGCTTTGAATAACAGAAATGTATTCTTTCACCCTTCTGGAGGCCGTTGTTACTGTTAAATGTCGTCGACTCATAGGCAACTCATAGTGACCCTACGAACGAAAGACCTGAACACTTGTAGAACTTTCATCGTTTCTCCAAGTTCATAGGGTTTCCAGGGGTAAGCTATTACGGAACTGGATGCCATTCCTGCACCCAAGCTTGTTTTAATCGGGGAGCTCCACCAAACACTGTCCACCATGGGTGACCCATATCACATTTGGCACATCAGGGTCACAGTGTTCGGCAAACAGCAAACCATGTGTTACCTCTGTACAGCAAATGGACAGACCAGTGCTCTACCACCAGAAGTCTGAAATCAAGGTGGGGACCGGATTGTACTTCCTCTGAAGGCACTAGAGGAGCATCTGGTCTTGCCTTTCAGCTTCTGGTGGCTTCTGACCTTCATTCACTCCAGTCTCTGGTGTCACATGGCTGTCTTCTCTGTATCTTCTCTTGTTTTCATAAAGACATCTGTCACTTGACTTACAGCCCAGTCTAAACCCAGGCTTCTGAGCCACGCAAGCCACTTGCTCAGAGTGACCTTGTGCATGCTGGTTGTTCTCTGCCTCAGTTTCCCAACAGGTCAAATAAGGAGCAAACAAGCCTATTCTGTGAGTTTGTTTGAGAAAAGTGCTTGAAACAGTGCCCAATTTATAGAAAATAATAAATGATGTTGTTGTTATTGATTGCCATCGAGCTGAGCACTACTCCTAGGGACCCTATGAACAGAAGACCTGAAGCCTTTCTATAACGATCGTCATTTCTCAAAGTTCATAGGGTTTCCACAGGCATGTTGTTTAGGAAGTGGATGCCGCTCCTGCTTCCAACAATAAATGATGATTTTTTTTATTACTCTAACTATTGTTATATTATTATTATTACTACTACTATCAATTGAAGTATTTTGGCTAACAGATGCGGCCCTGGATGTGCTCACCAAGTTGTGCCAAGAAATCTGGAGAACAACCACTTGCCCAACTGACTGGAAGAGATCTATATTTGTTCCCATTCCAAAGAAGGGTGACCCAACTGAGTGTGGAAACTACAGAACACTATCATTGATTTCACATGCAAGCAAGATTCTACTGAAGATTATCCAAAAACGACTGGAACAGCACATCAGCAGAGAACTGCCAGAAGTCCAGGCTGGGTTTAGAAGGGTCGTGGTACTAGGGATATTGTAGCTGATGTTAGATGGATCTTAGCTGAAAGCAGGAAATACCAGAAGAATGTCTATCTGTGTTTCATTGATTATGCAAAGGCGTTTGACTGTGTGGATCATAACAAACTGTGGCTGACTCTGAGAAGAATGGGAATCCCAGAACATTCAATCGTGCTAATGTGAAACCTATACTTGGACCAAGAGTCAGTTGTCAGAACAGAGCAGGATAACACTGCATGGTTCAAAATTGGGAAGGGTGTACTCCAGGGATGTTTCCTGTCTCCATATCTTTTCAACCTGTACGCAGAGCAGATTATCCGGGAGGCTGGGCTCTATGAGCAGAATTGTGGTGTCAGGATTGGTGGAAGATCTATTAACAATCTGCATTATGTAGATGACACAACCCTGCTTGTTGAAACTGAGGAGGACCTCATGTACTTGCTGCGAAGGGTCAATGACTGCAGCCTTCAGTATGGACTGAGGCTCAATGTCAAGAAGACAGATTCTCACCACTGGACCAATTGGTAGCATCAGGATGGATGGCTAAGAGATTGAGATTGTTCACAGCTTCAGTTTGCTCCGCTCCACGGTCAACACTCTTTGCACCAGCAGTCAGGAAATAAAAAAACGTATTGCGATGGGAAAGTCTGCTGTTAGGGACCTCTCTAAAGTACTCAAGAGCAACGGTGTCTCTCTGGAGACTAAGGTGCGCCTGATACAAGCCATGGTCTTTGCAGTCATTTGTTATGCCTCAGAGAGTTGGACCATGACTAGGGAGCACAGAAGGAGAATTTATGCCTTTGAGCTCTGGTGCTGGAGAAGAGTATTGAATGTACCGTGGGTTGCCAAGAAAACAAACAGATTCATCCTGGAGAGGATTAAACCAAGCAACTCCTTGGAGGCAAGGATTCTGGGGCTTCGTCTGACATACTTTGGGCATGTTACAAGGAGGGACAGGTCCTTGGAGAGGGACATCATGCTTGGGAGGGTGGAGGGACGGCGCAAGAGGGGAAGACCCTCTATGAGGTGGATTGATTCAGTGACTGGGGTAATCCGGATGGGTGTGTCAGAGGCAGTGCGATTGGCACAGGATAGAGCAGGGTTTAGGGCTGTTGTACATAGGGTCGCTATGAGTCACAAACGACTCGACAGCACATAACAACAGCAACAATTATCATCATCATCATCATCTTGTCCTTCAGCGAACTCCTCTTCTGGGAAAGCAGAGAACATTTAAATGCTTGAGGAAATGAAGAACTCAGTACATTACAGGGTTGTGCAAGTGCTTCCCTCCCTCCCACCTCATCCATTTTCCTCTGTAAAAGGAGAGTCAGGTGGGAATCAGCCAGGACTCTGGTGGGGGGCGAGGACTGGTGGGGGGTGAGGAGGGAGGTTCTGCACTGTGGGCAGGGGGTGGGGGGGTTGTTCTCAAGCTGGCAGTTGGTCTTAGTTGAGTCTGTTGGTCTCCCCAGACAAGGACGAGTGCGCCAAGGACAACGGCGGGTGCCAGCACGAGTGTGTCAACACGTTCGGGAGCTACCTGTGCCGGTGCAGGAACGGGTACCGGCTCCACGACAACGGGCTCGACTGCAAAGAGGGTGAGACTGCGCCCGGCGCACAGGGAGGGGCGAGCCTGGGTGCCCTGCGTGTACCTCAAAACCAGGCAGGCCTGCACTCGGTTCCTGGCTCCGCCCCTTCCCAGCAAGCCTCTTAGCTCTCTAAACCTATTTTCTTATTTGGTTGAATGAGGAGGATTAAGTGAGCGGACAACTGCAGAACGTTCACCACCATGCTCAACACAGAGGAAGATTCATTCCTGCTGTTGACCCAAATGCTACCCTCTCAGCAGATTGTGGGGTCCTCTGCTAGTAGCACTGTAGCCAGAGCACAGTTGGTGAACACAGAAGGAAACTGCTCTGTAAAGCTAAGTCTATCGATGGAAGGCAAAGCGACAGAGATCCTTGCCAGCCAGTGTTAAGAGAGCACTTACCACTTACATACTCAATCTCATTTTATCCATGTATTACCTCTACAAGGTGGGCAGTACTGTGGTGTTCCTTCCACAGATACAAAAGCTTAAGTTACAAGCCCTGATGGCACAATGGTTAGCCCACAGTTAACAGAAAGGTTAGTGGCTTAAACCTACCAGGTACTCCATGGGAACACAGCCTGAGGATCTGCTCCTGGAAAGATTACAGCCCTGTGGGACGGTTCTGCTCTGTCGTACAGGCTCACTATGAGTTCAAAACTGCAGTATGAATGTTAATTGTAGGAACTGTGACTTGACTCTGGAGCCATCATCAAATAAATGAGCAAATCCGGGGCTGCCCCACATTTGACAGAGACCATGTGACAAAGGGGAGTGAGAGGAGGCCCCAGTCCTCCCCTCCTCAACAGTCTGTGGGACTGCCCACAAATGACGTGTTTCTCTTGCTGTCTATCCCTTCTCCCTACAGCTGGCTGTGAGCACAAGATCAGCAGTGCTGAGGGAACTCTAGCGAGTCCCAACTGGCCGGACAAATACCCCAGCCGGAGGGAGTGTACCTGGAATATCTCTTCAACTGCAGGCCACAGGGTGAAACTTGTAAGTCGCTGCCGTGATTTATTAAGAATGCGGACTTTGGTATCTGACAGTCATAGATTCAGCTGTCTGCTCTGTCACTCCTCAGCTCTGAAACGTGGGGAAGTTACTCTACGATTCAGGTATCAGATTATCTGAAAAACAGGTGTAATAACGTCTACAGCACAGGTAGCATATGAGGGAAATTCAAGAAGCAATGAGTATCCAATCCCAATGGTACATGTTGGAGGTCAGGGTGGTGCACACCACGTGGATCTACAATGATGCTGTTTCTTCAGTTGTTATGGTTTGAAAACTTTTACAAAATCTGTGCATTCCGAAGGGGGAAAATTAATCTGTACAAAACTTTGGAAGCTGAGACTTAAAAGGCTTATTCTAGAAAAGACCCCTCTGAACATTTTTCTTATTCTGAATCGTTTGAAACTTTCTATGTACATCCAATAATATATACAGTTTCACCAAGAAAAAAAATTATTTACCCTTTTTCTGTCTCAGACTACTCAAATGAAATTTTATTATTAATAATCTACTACTTACATTAAAAGCAACAATAGGATTCCGTGTTCTTTATAGTAATTTCCTCTTGAATATTAATAATAATAAAAATCATCCATGCATTTACATAAAGTCCCATGCGCACATATGATTTGTGATCGGCTCTCCATCCTCAAAGGGGAAATGTGTCTCTCCTTAAGTCACATTTCTTATACCCTGGGGCCTCCCAAGAAAGGTACAGTCCAATGGGTAAGGAGTTGCACTGCCAATCCAAAAGGAAGTGGTTCGAATCCGATAGTTGCCTCACGCAAGACAACTGGGCGTTCTCCTCCTGTGCAATTTACTGCCTCTGAAAACCCACTGGATGGTCAGTTAGGAGTCACTTCCTACTCGAGGGCAGTGAGTGAGTGGATACTCTCAGATCAAGGAGTATGTAAAACAAAGCATCTTACCAACTGGAGCAGATATACTCCAGACAGGCAAGTAGTTTTCAATGAGGCTTTCCAGCTCTGAAGATAAGTAATTCTTAAGGAGCCTGTGTTTATGTTCCTATGAATTATGGACTGATACTGTGAAGAGAATGGAAAAGAATAAGCAAAGAGGATGATAAAGGGAGGGTTGTTCAGGTATTTCCAGGGCGCTTATTCACAGGCAGAGGTAAGGAGAGGAGAGACGGGAGATGAGTGAGAGGCTCTGAGATTGGGTTCCAGGCTAGAACCCAGGTGTTGGTGCTAACGAGGTGCTGGGTCTGGTACACAGAGGGTCAAAGATAGCTCTGTATACCAATGAAGAAGTTTATCATTTTGCTTTTCGAAGAGAAGAACGAACTGGGGGTAAAGGGAGGGTAGAGAGAAAAAGTGCAACAATGAATGAATGGAAATCCAAAATCTCTGTAAATGTTCATTAAAATTAATAAAATACATTTTTTAAAAAAAGATAGCTCTGTAGACTACAAGGTGGTCTGTGCACACTCTGCAGGGCAAACCTGACAGAGGCAGGAGCCAGCCTATGGCCTGGCAGCAGCGGGAACCTCATAGTCATGGGCTGTCCTTATCAAAGACTTTTGACATCTTTCCTGGGTCAGACAGAATGGCCTCAAAGCTGCTGTACTTCGAAAAAGGCACTCCTTTCCCGAGACTGCCATCTGCTGGACAATGTTTGCAATGGCAATAGAAGTTTATTATGCTAATGAGGGCCCGGCGCCCCCTGGCGGTGAGAACGCGCAACCTGCATGACTAAAAGCCATGTCACTTGTGTTTAAAGATGACACGTTTCTATTAGTTGTTTCTATTAGTTGCCACAGACGTGTATTGTTTTTGTTTCCTCTCCCCCCCCCCAGTTCTTTGTATATTTTTCGTAGTGATAAAAAACTAAAGCAGTCGTTCACAGGGGCCATAGCTCTCTAACCGAGACCTAAAATTGATGAGGTTTATACATACATGTGCTCATTTTAGAAAGACATTGTCTTGGGAAATGGCTATAGTGATTGTGACTTGAACACTTCTCAGGAAAACTGCGAGCTGCATATTTCTCAAGATACTGACCCAGCAGTAGGATGTCAAAGTCTCTTTGGGGAATACCTTGCCTCCCTGGTCCACCTCTCTCCCCCATTGCATCACCCACAGACCCTGGAGCCACTCTTCTTTGGTTTTCTGCTTTTTTGTCTCCACTCACTACTTACCTTCCCAAAGCTCTGGTTCTCATAGGTGTGCTGAGTTATGTCCATAGGAAGACTCTTTCCTTTGAAAACTCACACCGCTGTGGCCCCTGCGTCCTACCCCAACCTCTGTCCCTGCTCTGGGAGCCCGACCCTGCTCTTTTCAGTAGAAAACCTCTCCTACCATTGCCCTCTGTCTTGCTCTGTCATTTGGCTCAAATCTTCATCTACTGCTGTCTCCTCTCTCCTCAGTCCATCTCCTTCATAGCCCTGGGTCATATGCACAGCATTGCTACTGTTGCTGTTTGCCACTGAGTCAGAATTGACCCATAACTGACCCTCCAGTGGGTTTTCAGAGGCATTTAATCCCACAGGAGGAGATTGCTCACCCTTCTTCCAGAGAGCATCTGGTGGATTCAAACCATGTACCTTTGGGATTGCAATGCAACTTCTTGCCACTAGGCTGCCAGAATTCCTTATGCTAAGCCCCCTGTGCAGAGATCACAGCATAGCATCAGTCATATACCTAACACTCAAGTTGGGGACTTGTGACCCCCAAAAGCCCACCTGATGTCAGTCTAGAATTGTGAGGCTCTTCTACTCAGTGCCCAAGGCTGGTCCACCATTTATTCAAGTCTTTAGGAAGGACAAGGAGGAGGCAGGCAAGCTAGCCTGATGGTAGTTAGGGTACAGGCTGGCATCAGACTGGCTGCAGGTCAAGTCCAGCTCTGGCTTTCTCTGGATGTGTGCGCTTAGATAAGCCACTTGACTTCTCTAAGACTCAGTTTCCTCTTCTGAAAATTTTTTCCCTTATAGAATTGTCAGAATTGAGTAAGGTTCCACCCATATAAAGCTTGGTACAGGGCTTGACATGAAAGAAACTGGCAGTCTAGCCTCGTGTGCATCCTTTGTGCCGAAGAATCACGCAATCCAGTGCTGAGGTCTCTGGAGTCAGTCCATCTAGGGTATGGTCCCGCTCCTCTCGTGGGCAGTTCATCTGACGTTCCTGTGCCTCAGTTTTCTCATCTATAAAGTGGGAATTATAGTTGTGTATACTCACAGGGTAGTGAGAATTAACTGAGATCACACGTGTAAAGTACTTGAAATAGCTTCTGTGAGCACTCAGTCGTGGCTGCCTCTTGTTTGCAAAGTGAGGAAGAAGTTGAGATATGGTAGGAACACGGATGAGGTCAGTCAGAATCCCAGTTCTGTGCTTTAATAGCTGTCAAATGTCAACAAGCATTTAATCCCTCTGACTTTCCACTCACCCCCACCTCATCTGCAAACTTGTCAGAGGAAGCCAAGGGTCTGTGTAACTACCTCACAAGCTTGTTGGGAGAACAAAAGAGAGGACGTGAAGTGATTCCATCTTCCAAGTAGAGACCTTCCCTAATGCCCCCAACGGTCTCCTTGAGTCACACACCCCCTACCCAGCAGCCTGGACAGATGGGCGTCGTGTGCACACTGCCCGGCAGCCTGGACAGATGGGCATCATGTGCACACTGCCCGGCAGCCTGGACAGATGTGCGTCGTGTGCACACCCTACCCAGCAGCCTGGGCAGATGTGCGTCGTGTGCACGCTTCCCAGCAGCCTGGACAGATGGGTGTCATGTGCACGCTGCCCGGCAGCCTGGACAGATGTGCATCGTGTGCACACTCTCCTCTCCCAGCTCTGGAGAGGGCCCCTACCCTGGCTGCACATTGCGCCCTTGTCTCACTGCACTTCTCCCTCTGCAGACGTTTAATGAGTTTGAGATCGAACAGCACCAGGAATGTGCCTACGATCACCTGGAGATATACGATGGCCCCGACAGCCTGGCCCCCATCCTCGGCCGTTTCTGTGGCAGTAAGAAGCCAGCCCCCGTGGTGGCTTCCAGCAGCAGCCTGTTCCTCAAGTTTTATTCTGATGCCTCGGTACAAAGGAGGGGCTTCCAGGCGATGCACAGCACAGGTACAGGGCTGGGGCCACCCACGGGGATAGAGGGAGGCGAGGGGGAGATCAAAGACTGGCGATGGGCAGGAGGGGGGCGAGATAAAATGTTCCTTCTCAATGAGACGTCGACCACCCCCTTCTTGTCATAAAAGAGCCTTGGAATGTAGCAGTTAAGTATCTGGCCGCTAACCGGAAGCTCTGTGGGAGAAGCCCGTGGTGGCTTCTGTAAAGATCACAGTCTCACAGTCTAGGAGAGAAACCTATGAGGCAGCTCTACCCAATCTTTCAGGGTTGCTATGCAAAGAAATTAACTTGATGGCAGTGGGGTTTCCAACTAAAAGGGGAAAGATTGCTTTCCATTAATGTCCATAACTGAAAAGAATTTAAATAAGGTCCCCATGTTTTTGCTGGTGGCCTGTTACCCCCCCCTTTCCTCCCTTTCTTCTTTTTAAAAGTTTACTTGGAATTCTGCAGGCCTGTGAAACCCCAAAGTCCTGGAGTTGACTGGTAAAGAATAGCACCTTTTTTCTTCCTAAGAACCATTTCAATAAAGGAAAAACCTATTACTGTCTGGCTTCTTTTGAGTTTCATTAAAAATTTAAAAAGCTTTATTGAATCCTTTGGAGGGAAAGCTGTGGGCTTATAAAATCCAATATCTGCTTTGTTAAGTAGCATTCCCAACAAGAAAAACGGTCTCTGCTCTTGTAGACACTAAACTGTTACCAACTGAGGCTCAAACCCGTGGGAGCAATGCTAACACTCACCCTGCAGGTGTTTTGGTAAAGTCAGGTGGCTCCTTGTGGTCCGCTAAGCTCCTGTGGTGCTGAGAGTTACAGATCCTGACAACAGGACCTTGTGAGGCCGGTGGTTCAAATCTACCCCACTGCTTTGTGGGAGCATGATGAAGCAATGTGCTTCTGTCAAGAAACCTTGGAAACCCTGCAGGGCGGTTCTCCCCTATGCTATCAAGTCTCTGAGTCAGAGTCAACTTGGTGGCAGTCAGATTTCTCCTCAATTTGTTTTTAGAGCAGAAAATATGAGTCAGGCAAAACAAAATGGCCAACTGCATCTAGTCAAGGTCTTGGGTCTTTGAAGGTCCAGTTTATTATACCATGAGGCTGATTACATTGTGAATCTTATTAGTAATGATGCCAATGACAGTAAAACTACTACAAAGATAGAAAGGTCTTGAAAAGAAATATGTGAATCTATTTCTGTTGGGAAAAAAAACAAAACAGACAAAAACCCAACCTCTCAAACACCCAAAAAAACCCCAACAGAATGGCAGACAAAGGCTCCATGTTCCCAGCACCCCGGGAGCCTCACAGCTCTGTCTTTTCTCCAGAGTGTGGGGGCAGGCTGAAGGCCGAGGTGCAGACCAAAGAGCTCTTCTCCCACGCCCAGTTTGGGGACAACAACTACCCGAGCCAGGCCCGCTGTGACTGGGTAATTGTGGCGGAGGACGGCTATGGCGTGGAGTTGATTTTCCGGACCTTTGAAGTGGAGGAGGAGGCAGACTGTGGCTACGACTACATGGAAGCCTACGACGGCTACGACAGCATGGCGCCCAGGCTCGGCCGCTTCTGTGGCTCCTGGGTGAGTCCTGGGGGTGCCGGGGCCAGGGTGCATGCTGCAAGGCTGGGTGATTTGGTGCATGTGCTGTGCAGTCAGACGCATGAGGAACCATGAGAGAAGGATGAGCAGTCTCCTCCCCAGCCATGCACTGCCTCTGAAAAACCCCTGGAGGTCAGCTATGGGTCAGGTGCAACTCGGTGGCACACAACAACAGTAACACCCTGGAGTACCCTGCTGCAGCAGAGTGCACTAACGCTGAGAACAGTGTGAGGCGGCTGGGACCGGCCCATGAGGGCCTTGTGCTAAAAGCAGCTCAGCTCAGCTCATTGCTGTCCAATCAGAACCAAGTCAAAGCTGACCCTCCAGTGGGTTTTTGGAGGCTGTAAGTCACATGGCGGGAGATTGCTCATCTTTCTCTGGAGAAGCAGCTGGTCGATTTGAACCATCAGAGAAATAGCAGAGAGGTTAGCAGTACAACACCCTACCCACTCTGCCACCAAAGTAAAGTAGTCATGGAAGAACACCTTGCTCTTCTTTTTTATTAATTTTAATTAAAGTTTACAGAGACTTAGAGTTTCCTTTCATTCATTGTTGCACTCTTCTACCTGCCCACCCCTCCCCCTCAATTCATGCTTCTCCTTGAAAAATAAAAGAAAACTCTTTCATCGTTATACAGCTCCTCCCCCAAGTCCACTAATACCCAATCATATATCCCTTTTAAACAGTTTTCTCCTTCATCTGTTTCAATTCAGTATATATCATTCAACTTCTCTTTCTCTGTCTTCCCTCAACCTAGATGGCAGTCCCGTTTTACAACAGTGGCACTATGTAATATTTGTCCTTTTGTGACTGAGATCTTTCATTCAGCATAATGTCCTCCAGACTCACCCATTTCAATAATATTGCATAAGTTCCTTGTTTTTCAATGCAGCGTAGTATTCCATTGTGTGAATATACCACAGCTTCTCTATCCATTCGTTTGTTGATGGGCACTTGGGTTGTTTCCAGCTCTTTGCTATTGTGAACAAAGCCGCAGTAAACATGGGTGTGCATATATCTGCTTGGGTGGCAGCTATGGTTTCTTTAGGGTAAATTCCCAGTAGTGGAATTGCTGGGTCAAATGGTATTTCTATTTGCAACTTTTTTGAGAAAGCGCCATATAGCCTTCCATAGTCGCTGCACCATTTTACACTCCCACCAACAGTGAATAAGGGTGCCAGTTTCTCCACAACCTCACCAGCATTTGATGTTTGCTGTTTTGTTAAATTTTGCTGTTCTTACTGGGGTGAGATGATATCTCATAGTTGTTCTGACACCTTGCTCTTTAAGAGCTCACCCCCTAGTTTTACAAAAATTTCCCCTCTACATTATTTGTCCATCAGGATTTCTTTTTTAGTTTTTTTAATGCTTTTGTCATTCCATATGTTCCTCTTTCTCTTCCAATGAAAAAAAAGTAGGTGTAGGGTGTAACATATTGGACTGTTAACCAAAAGGTGCAGGATTTGAATCCACCAGTTGCTTCTGTTGTTGATATGTGCCATTAAGTCACCTGTGACCCACAGCGGCCTGACGTACAGCAGCTCTGAACCCCGCCCTGTCCTGAGCCAGTCTCACTAATTTCGACACACCAACCCCCGTTGCTCCAGTGACTGTATCAGTCCATCTCGTCTTGGATCTTTCTAGCCTTCGCTGTCCCTCCACCCTTTGGAACATGATGTCCTTCTCCAAGGACTGGTCTCTCCTGGCCATGTGCCCAAGATATGTGAGATGGAGCTTCAAAATCCTAGCCTCCAAGGAGAAACTTGGTTTCACCCTGGATCAGGCGCACCTTAGTGTCTAGACTGACATTGCTGCTTTTCAGCACTCTGGAGAGGTCCCTGACAGCAGATTTTTCCCAATGCTATTTGTCTTTTGATTTCCTGGATGCTGGTGTTAAGAGTGTTGATTGTGGAGCTGAATAAGCTGTAATTATTAACAACCTTAATCTCTTCTTCATCAATCATGGTACAATGGTGAGAATCTTTGTCTTCTTGATGTTAAGCTTCAATCCATATTGAAGACTACAGTCCTTGATCTTCTGCAGCAAGCACTTCAGGTCCTCTTCAGTTTCAGCAAGCAAGGTTGTGTCATCTGCATAACACAGGTTAATGATGAATCTTCCTCTATTCCTGATGCCACGTTCCTTCTCATAAAGCCCTGCTTCCCGAATGATCTGTTGCTCCTGGAGGAGGAAAAAAAATTCCTCCTAAAAAGATATACAATCTGAGAAACATAATTGAGGGTTGCTGTTCATTGGAATGGACTCCTTGGCAATGGGTTTGCTTGAGGTCTTGAAGTGAAACAAAATGCCTTTGAAAATTACCAAGCATTTTCTTAAAAGAAACACAGTCATTGTGCAGCTAATAGTCTTTTCCTCCCCCTACTCTCCTCTTTTCTAGGCACAGATGGATCTGGCTTGCCTCTCCCCAGCCCTTGATATAGGACTGGCCGTTAGGTGGTGCTCAGAGATAGTGTGTGTTGTGATGAGCCTGTACATTGTCCTGGCCTCTCCTCAACCTCTCCACTGTCCATCTTGGGTCTCTGGCCCTGCGCTGGCCTCTCTCTCTAAGGCTGATCATACCAGCTGCTTTCATTTTTAAAATACCCAGTTATGTTGAAGTCTCTGGTTGTGTTGCACTAAACAGAAACATGAATTGGAATTTATATGTCTTTTCCCTTAATCTCTTCTCACTCACCAAAAAAGAGGAGATAATGAAATGTGCTTCAGCCACTGCACTTCCTTTAATAGGGTGTTTAAAAATCATAGAGTTCATATAGACAGGGAACACTTTTTGGGGGATAGGGAGGATGGCGCCTAAGCAGTGAAATGTGTAGGAAGCTCAGTTTGGGTCAACTCTTAGCTTGTTGGCTGGCAGCTTTAGAACCTGGCTTCTGTGCATAAGCCCCCTGGTTAAACCTCTCTGACAAATGTAGTTACTCTGTCCCACTTTATGTCTTTGGATAGGAGACAGAACTCAGCAAAGGTCTTTGTTTTGGATTTCCTAGGAGACCTATCACCTTGTGGACCATAAGACTATATGATTCAGGCTCACATTCTGAGTTTACAAAGACCTGAAGTTGGCTTAGCAGCTTCTACTTTTACCAATTTTATAATCTGGCTCTAAGAAATCCTTGCTATAAAACAAAAGTTTATGAGAATCTAAGTTTTCTGAGAAACTCTGAAAAGATTTATATTCATGTGCTTTTCAAAGATCTAAAGGATGTTCACCACCATAAAGAAAATAGGATCAGAGGTGGGAATTTACCTAACACCCCAAAGTGAGAGGCTTGTTGAGAGGCTGTGACATTGAGGAGTAAAGCTCTTGCCTTCACAAAAGATTGAAGGGACTAGGGGAGAGAGAAAACAGATCTGAGCTTGAACCTGTCTGTCTGTGTAAAGTGAGCCTTCATTTCCCCAAGTGTCAATTGAAGAAAGAGCCCGTGTTACAAAGGCTGAAACTTTTACATGAGATGATATTGTAAAGTGCTTGGTGCCTGGCCCATCTATGAACTTAATAAAGAATAGATCCTAAAGGGAGCTCTGGTGGCCTAGTGGCAAGAAGCTGCACTGCAATCCTGAAGATGCAGGGCTCAAATCCACCAGGTGCACCTTTGGAGAAGGAGGGGCAATTTCCTCCTGTGCCAGTTGAATCCAACTCAACAGTACACAACAAGGCTTAAATAAATAAATAGATAGATTCTATATAAGCTGTGTTGTGTAGGGAGTTCTGGTGACTTAGTGGATAAGAGTTGCACTGCCAACCCAAAGCTGTGCAGTTCAAATCCACCAGCTGCTCCTCTGAAGATGGGTGATCTTCTGTGCAATTTACAGCCTCTAAAAACCTGCTGGAAGGTCAGCTATGAGTCAGTTGTGCCTCAACAATGATAAGTTGGAGTTAATGACACGAGCTATAGAGAAGCTCTTGTGGAGCTGTGGTTAAGACATTGGGTGTTCACTAAAAGATCCACAGTTTGAACCTCTCCACCACTCAGAGAGAATAACGAATCATTCTGCTTCTGTAAAAATGTACAGATTGGGAAACTTCAAGGGTCAGCTCTGCTGTGTCCTACAGGGTCACTCTGAGTCTGGATCGACCCGATGGCAGTGAGTCTCGTTCTAGCTTCGTATGAATTAAGTAAGTGTCTGGGCATGTTGGTAGGGGAGTCTATTTCTTAGAGACGGACATCATGTTTGGCAAGGTAGAGGGACAGCAAAAAAGAAGACCCCTAACCAGGTGGATTGACACAGTGACTGCACCAGTGGGCTCCAGTGTGCCCACAATGATGATGAGAGCACGGCATAGGACGGGGTTGAGATCTGTTGTTCGTAAGGTCCCTGTGAGCCATACTCAACTTGGTGGCACTTAACAGCAACAACAATGTGTCTAGGATTGTCCTGGGGAAACCAGGGAGCAGAATTGCCGTGGGTTCTTCGGAAAAGGAGTTGGTTTTGAGGCCCTTCAGAGCCTCTGGTACCTGAGATGCCTCATTGGCTCACCAGCCACCCTATGTCCTTGTGCAAATTACTGCACCATTTTCATTTTAAAGTCTCAAATGTGGTCCAACTAACCAAATATTGCCAAATCTTCTCTTCTCCTTTTCTCAGCCACTGGAAGAAATCTACTCTGCAGGGGATTCCCTGATGATTCGTTTCCACACAGACGACACCATCAACAAGAAAGGCTTTCATGCCCAGTACACCAGCACCAAGTTCCAGGATGCCCTGCACATGAAAAAATAATGGTGGTCATCTCAGAGGACACAGGACTGAGAATGTTTTTACAAAAGCACCTTGTGCATCTGCCCTGAAACAGTGTACAGTATTTTTTCTCAGAAAAACAAACACAAAACCAGTCTTTAAGATATATATATATATTTGGATGAAAGTCCATAATGATATTTGGCCAATAAGGAGGACAGAAAATAGTCCATTTATTCCAACTGCATTGTTATTTATTTATCACAGGCTTTTAAAGAGGATTGCATTTGATATCACTAACTGTTCAGGCTATGCCTGTGTATATCTGGCTTCCCTGTCCCTTCCTCCTATGACAGAGAAGGCCAACTCTTGAGTTTGTCATTTCTCTGTTCCTGGAAGCATTTCCAGAGGTGCCAGGGAGTGGGACTGTGTCTGGGGGCTCAAGATGTCTTCCTGTACTGGACAATGAGGACAGTGGCTGATTTGTTACTCACAGCTTTGGCCAAAGACTTCTGCCTCTCACCCAAGCCAGAAATGTCAACGATGCAATGTGAGAAGGTGGATTATTAAGAAAGGCGTTTGACTAAGTAGCACACAGAGGGAGCTTGGCGAGTAACCAAAATAACTCCCCTAGAGTTGGGAGATCTGGCGCTTTTTCTGTGTTACTGCCTCTCCTTTTCTCCTTTCTTCTCTTTGTTTTTTTCTTCACTGGGTGGTGCAACTATTAAACACTTGACTGCTAACAGAAAGATTGGCAGTGTAAACCCTCCCGGAGAGTGGTTCCTTGGAAGAAAGCCCAGGAACTCCGCTCCCATACAAAGCCTAGAAATTCCTATGGGACAGTTCTACTCTGTCCGATGGACTGAAGATGGATCCAGTGACACCTAACAACAGCTGTGTTGGGGGCTGGGCGAGCTACCCACCACGAGTTCCGGTACAGCCATTGCTGTCAAGCTTGCCCAGAAAAGCCATTCTGGTCATTCTGCTACTTCTGGACATGTCCTTTTGGAGAAGACCCCACCTGTGCTTGGAATGCCTTGGGCTTCAGAGAACATTGCTTTTTCAGCTTAGAAGGCACTTACTGGGTCTATCCTTGACTCTTTGTTGACCATACAAACTGCATTTGCAAGATGTGCAAAGACTTTTGAGGGACCACTTCAGGTCCTTCATGGGGTGAACTGTTGAGAGCTTGTTAACTATAAATCATATTGGAAGCCTCACTTGTGGAACAGGTCAAATTGGTGATTTATTTTCTGTAACCAGTCAGGTTAAAGGGTGCGTTTGTAACTCTGCTCACGTTGATTAGCCTTCAGTCACCGACTTGCAATCGAAATTCACTACACTTGGCACTTGTTCTAGAGAAATGTAGAGGATGATGTTTACATAATCTTAGAACCTTAAAGTGTAATTTAAGCAGTGAGGTAGTTTTTGAATGGCATTTCATTAAGGCATCTATGGGCATTATGAGCTAAAAGCTGTGGTGTGTTAGCTTTAAAAAAGTATTTATGTTGGAATAATTTTTAAATAATGTTTACATAACTGTAAGTCCTGTTGGGTTGGTGCTAAACACAAAGCACTGGAAAGTGGTTTCAGTGAGCGCCCGGCTAGCTCCCAAGCATTAGAATTCCACTGAGATGAGTCAGCATCATTGTAAACTAGGTATTTATGAAAGGTTAAGGGTTATATTTTTTAAAAATTAGAATATGCCCTCAGAAGCCTATGTCTACTTATAAAGATTGCTGGGAGTAAAAAAATAGAACAAAACAGAAAAGTAAATTAAATGCATGGGGATATTTTTTCCCTTAAAACAGAAAAATAAAATCCAATTATTATTATTATTAATAATTCTATGTCTGTAAATATGTATGTATGTAAAGGATCAGCTGTCAAAGCCTTAATCAATGCTGTGTGAAAAATGTCAACCCATCGACCATAGCTTTACTGTACAGGTTCCATGTGCCGGATGTACATTGTTTGCCTCCTCTCCTACCAAGCTCCGCCTCAACCTGTGTTGGCCGTGGATAGTTTCAGCCTGTATCTTCCTCTCATGATATGGGGCTGACCCTCCTCTGGGGGATCCTTGATACAGCAAAAGCGGCAGCTATTCTCGTGTAAGATCTCACTTACCTGCCTGGGGAAATGACATTTACCTGATTTTTGTATTCTCTGGAGTCTCAAAGTTGAAATGGAGATTAGGGTGAATAAAGTTGTTGTCAGGTCATGCACACATCTCTCCAAGGACAACAGTTCTACAGTTTCAACCTCAGACGTCTAAATAAAAGAAATAGTAATAGAAAGGTTGGTGGTTACTCATCCAGAAGCACTTAGAAAGACAGTACTGATCTATTTCCAAAACCTCAGTGGAACACAATGCAACTGTGGTGCACAAGTTACCTTGTGTTGGAGAGGACTCAGCAGCAAGTAGGTTGGTTTGTGTTATTTTTATTCCAGAGAAGCATGGGGGGAGTCAGAAACAAAGAGTTTGTTCTGGCCTTTGTCACAATGACACGTCTTTTACAGAAACACACAGCTTCCACAGTAATCAACATATGGCCAGTTTAAAACAATGGGACGTTTATGAGAGCCCTCTGTGAGTGACGTAGCTCCAGAGAAGTCCAGCTGTGTTTCAGCGAAGGCTGGCCTGCCCGGGCACTCCCCAAGGAGCTCACACTCACCAGGATTCATGCACGATACAATATGTGTGGTCCTGCTAAGAACCAAAGGCTGACTTCACCAGAAGCCCCTTTAGCATAAGGACCTAGGTCCTCATCTTGGACTCAATTTGTCAGTGAATTACTTTCAAACGAGCCTGAAAGCAGGTGAAGGAGCTAGAGAACATTGCTCTGGGATGCATTGTCCTTTCATTGGGTGCCACACCTTGAGGATGTCACAGAGCTTTAAGACTAGTTTCAATTTAGGGTACTACTTTGAGATGAACTGATGAAATATTAGGGGTCTGATCCAATCCTAGTGTCATCTCCTCTCACAGGGCTCGAACTTGACTACCACTGTAGCACTTGGGTCCCAGTGTGGGATAAGGGCCTCAGATCAACTTTGGCCAGTGGGATTTAACAGAGACTATGAGGCTTATGCGTTGGTTCTTAGTAACACTAATTCTTCTAAAGTTTCATATCACTCATGAGTTGTTTCAACTGTTTAACATCTGTACGCTTGTTAACAAGTAAATTTACATGAGCACTTACCGATGATCTGGTTTATTTGATAACTTAAAATAATTTATAGTAGTAGTAGTATTCCCTTTGTAAACAATTGCTCCCTTGGCTTCACAGATTTGTTTTTGTTTATAAACCTTCCCTTTGTAGAATGACTATCTGAACCATAATCCCAAATGTCTAAAAATTTCTTCTTAAAAAGACTTTAAATGTGTATCTACAAATACACGGATATTTTTTTGTATTAATTTTCCATTTCATTAAAGATAAAGTGGAGAGGAGCTAACGTGTGTCTCTGCCTAGAAAGATGGTCTCATTAAAGATTGTGGATTTACTAATGTGTCCTGGGTTTCTCTTACCAGTTTAGCCAAGATTAGTGCTCTTGGTGATAATTTTTCCCAATCACCACAAGAATTTGGGAGGATATTAAGTGGGCCACTCTCTAGTGAGTACCCCAGTGCCTGATTCCAGAATATCCTGAACAAACCTAAGCGTGACTTTCAAAGCTACCCCCTTCCTCAGACCCAAGCAAGCTGGAGATGTAGCGGTCTGAATGATTGCAGTGAAGAGGTTGCTGATGCCAGAGTTCCAGACTTTGAAGTGGTCTCTGGTAGACTTGTTTGTCCCTTCATTCTTCTTTCACTCATCACCTGACCTTTCGCTATATGACATGACATATGTCATGGCTTTTATTTGATGGCTCTCTTTCTCCAAGTTCTGATAACCACTTCTTCCACTCACCCCTTCATGCCTGTCACTCACTGCCATCGAGTTAGAACCAATTCATAGATGTCCCTCCAGCGGGTTTTCAGAGAATATAAATCACATGAGAAAAGATTGTCTACCTTTTTCTTGGAAAGTTACCGGTGTATTTGAACCACCAGAGAAGAATCACCTTGGGTAATGACCAGAGTCCCTTAATACCCAGGAGGAATATTACTCGTGTCACCCAGAATGATTTTTATACCTAGTTCCTTTAGTAAGCCTTTCTCAAATACAGTAAATTGAGTATATCATCCTGAGACCTTGACTGTTGCATGTCTGTTCTAACACAAGAGCAGAGACTACATATAATAAAGGGTACCTTTTCCTTCTTGTACAAAAAGATTCATAAGACAAAGAAGCTTTATGGTATGTCTAGAGTTTTGTAGACTATATCAGAGATGAGAGATAGTTGACTATGTCTTTACAAAAAATCAGCTTGGTCTTAAGGCTTAGCTCTTTAATGCACACACCTATTTGGTGATAGATATAGAACTGCCAGTCTTTATGGCTTCTGCCCTTTTGCATCAGTCATTAAATTTGCATTTATCTACCACTTGACTAGTGAGTGATTACCCCTGGTGGCAGTGGCTAAACCCTTAGTTGCCAACCAAGAGGTGGGTGGTTTGAATCTAATCCTCACTCTAGGAGTAACATGTGGCCCTTTGCTTCTGTAAAGATTGTCGTTCTTCTGTGCATGGAGTTGCACACAACTCATGGAGACCCTATGCACAATAACTCTAAATCCTGTGCTATCCTGATACAATTTCACTGTCTCTGACACACCTACCCCATTACCCCAGTAACTGTGGAATCCATCTCACCTGAGATCATCTCCTGCATTGTCCCTCCACCTTTCCAAGCATGTCCTTCTCCAGGAACTGGTCCCTCCTGGAAACATGCCCAAAGTATGTGAGATGGAGCTTCAAAATCCTTGCCTCCAAGGAGAAACTTGGTTTTACCCTCTCCAGTACAGACTTGGTAGTCAATGGAAGGTTCAATACTCTCCTCCAGCACTACAACTCAAAGACATTGATTCTTCTTCTATAATTCTTACTTGTTGTCCAGCTTTCTGATGCATAGCAAGTAACTGTGAAGACCATGGCATGGATCAGGTGCACCTTAGCTTCCAGGCTGACATCATTGCTTTTTAGCTCTGGAAAGTCCCTGACAGCAGATTTTCCCAATGTAATTTGTCTCTTGATTTCCTGAATGCTGAAGAGTGTTGATTGTGGAACCTTATAAGCAAGTTGAATTTGTTAACAATATCAAACTCTTCTATGTCTATCATAATGGAGTCAATTGGTCCAATGGTGAGAATCTTCATTTTCTTGATGTTGAGCTTCAATCCGTATTGAAGGCTGCAGTTGTTGACCTTCAGCAGCAAACACCTCAGGTCCTCCTCAGTTTCAGCAAGCTAAGTTGTGTCATCTGCATAGCACAGGTTGTTGATGAGTCTTCCTCCAATCCTGATGCCACATTCCTCCTCATAGAGCCCAGCCTCCCAAAATGTAAAGATTACAGCCTTGGAAACCATCCAGAGGAGTTACACTCTGCCTTCTGAGCCACTGTAAGTTGGAATCAATTCCATGGAAATGGATTTGGTGTTTGATTTTTTAAATCAGTCTATCCATCCATTGATCTATCTATCCTCGTCAAAGTCTAACTTTGCTTCTGGACCCAAAGGAAGACCCCGAGGGGTAGAAAGATGTGAGTGCTTGGTGTAGCAGTCAAGAAATGCTGACATAAGCTGCAGCAACCAGCCCCAAATTTCAGAGGTTTTAAGTATCGAAAGTCTACTTCTAAGCTTGGTGAGCTCTGATGACTTGGTGGGTAAAGAGTTTCACTGTCAACTGAAAGGTGACTTGAATCCACCTGCTGCTGTGGGAGAAAGGTGGGCATTCAATTAACAGCCTCTGAAAACCTGCTGGAAGGATAGTTATGAGACATTTTTGGCTCAATAGTACAAGCCTCTCCTTGTTCACACTATAATGTCAAT